CTGATTGCTCTTTGGGCTGATGAGGGAGGGGGACTTGATTGGGGGAGGGGGAGGGAAAGGGGAGGCGGCGGTGGGGAAGAGACAGAAATCATAAATAAATAAATAAATAAATAAATAAATAAATAAGAAAAAAGAACAAAGCAGTGACAAGAAGTAGGTTGATTTAGAACATTTATCCATCACTCATTTGATAAACATCTACTCAATCCGCACAATGAGATAATCAACTCCCTGGGCATTCCAGCAGAGCAAAAGCAGACATTGTGCACCTGCAAAAGGCACTCTTCAAATATGCTGAATGTCAAAGGACCTACTGTGTGCTGCTCACTATGTGATGATAGACAAAGAAATAGTGAACAAAGTGAGAAGAAACTTAAGAAAGTGATCACACTCAAAAGACTTAAAAAATAAAACAAAAAGCAGAACTTCACAGCAACCAGTGAAGGAAATGATAAGGACATAAAAAAAACAGGAGATACATGTTGTGTTCACACTACCCAAAGTGATGGAGAGACTCAACCCAATCCCATCAGACAGTGTGCAATTTGATTAATTATCAGGAAAACGTTAGTCAAAAACCACAGTGAGTTATCTTACTCAGCTGAGCATCCATCACCAAAAAGACAACAACTAAGGAATGCAGAGAAACACAAACACTGCTCGAGGGAGTGTAGAGTAATGAGAGTGTTATGGGGAACGCTATGCAAATTCCTCAAAAAAATTAGAATGACACATGACCCAACAACCCCACTCTTTATTGGATTCCCAAAAGAGATGAAATTTCTATACCAAAAGATATGTGATTAACACCCCCCCCCATGTTTACTGCAGCATTCGTCGGGAGGGAGAGAATGTGGGGCCGCTTCAGTGCCCTTCCCTGGGTGACAGAGAACAACCTGGGTAAAATTCAAGAGCATTGTGTAAAGTGAAAAAAACAAGCCAAGCCTGGCAAGCAGTTTCGCTGAAGTACAATATGGAGCAGCAGCCAGAGAAGGGGAAGAAACACAAATCCAGAGAAGTGTGCGGGACAGGAGTGGGGGGAAGGCTGAGAGAAGGATCCTCTGTGGAAGAGGATAAAAAGGGATATGATACTTGCATGGTTATAATACAATTACATAATTTCTCCTTCCCTTCCCTTGATCCTAACCCTCCCATGTGCCCCTCCTTGCTCTATTTCAAATTTACTTCTTTTCTCATTAATTGTTCATGGGTGTGTATGTGTTCCTAAATATGTACAATCTGCTCAGTCTGTATAGCATGACTTGTCTGCATATGTTTTCAGAGCTGACCATTTGGTATTGGATAACCAATTGGAGACCATGTCCCCCTCTCCACATCCTTTAGTTGTCTGTAATACTTTGTCTAGCTTTCTCCCTTCCAAGTTAGCATGTCAGCTGGCATGATCCTTGTTCAGGTCAAGTTTCAGCAGCCATGTAGCTGAGACTTCACAGGTGTAGCTCCTCTAACATTTCCCATAGCCCCTTTGCTCTTCTGGCTGCTATTATCTTTTAGCCGTTCTCCCACAATGATCCCTGAACCTCAGGCACGGGAGCTGTGTTGCAGAGGTATTGGCTAGGGCTGGGGTCTACAGCTCTGCGTTTTGTTTGGCTGTAGTTTTCCACAATTGCCTCCATCTGTTACCAAGAGAAGTCTCCTCAGTTGAGGGGCAGGGACTACCCTTAGCTATGGGCATCTGGACAAATGTTTGGATTGTTGTTAGGGGTTGTGGTGTTTTAGTGCAGTTGTCGGTTCTCCTCCAAGACCCGTGACTTCACTAGCCGTAAGCAGGTGACTAGGTCTCCAGTACCGGGCGTGATTTCCCTCTTGTTGACAGGGTCTTATTCCAGTTAGAGAGCCGTTGGTTACTGCCAAGGTATGCATGCCACTACTACACCCTAGCGGTTGTCATGTCATGTTGGCCACTGCTCTAGTTTACAGGGGTCATGGCTATTGATTACTCCCCCCTTTAGAAGCTTGCATAGCACCTTCAGGTACAGTGAAAGCAGTCCTCTGAGAGGAGGCATTCAGGTGAGTCCCAGTCCACAGACCTCACCTGGTGTCTTTAGCAATAGGAACTTAACTTCTACCTCCAAGGGTGAACAATTCCCACAGACGTGCCTGCAGGCCAGCCCAGCATAGACACTTCCTCATGGAGACTCTTTCCCCGCCTGATTCGCAGCTGTGTCAAGTTGATAATGAAAACTAATCAGCACAGGTGATAAAATTAATCAAAACCCTGAAGGAAGGATTGGAACAGGTAAGTCACAGGGACATTTGGTCTTTAATGCCAGGATTCTTGATATCAATCCAAGCAGTACCAAATGATACCAGTGGAGTAAAGGAGTGAACGTTCTCATGAAATGAAGCATTCAAAACATCCTTCGAGTCTATCATTCCTTCTAATATAATGTAACTAAAAAATGTATGTGAAATCATTTTCCCCAGTGTCCTTCTAAGTCTTATTATTAATAGTTCCTTACATGGCCATCACACTAGAAGAGATTTAGATGTTTGTAAATCTGCCTTTTAGGATTCATAAGGCAGTGTAAGAGAACAGGACTAACCTTACTATAATTTACCTGCGCTTCATAAGCCTGCTAAAATGTTGCAATTATTCAATAAACAATAACCATTGGCCTTTGAGTCCCTTCCCTGTAAGACCTACAGGTGACCTACAAAACGGGGGGTACAGAAGCCTGGAGCCAGCCTGAGGTACAAATCTGTTTGTTTGCCATGTCCTTAAAATCTGAGTGGGGCTGGATACAGAAGGAACTGGACTAATATCAACGGTGGCAGAAGTTTTTAAGACAACAGAGCATTCAGGCTGTGGCATGATTTCTACCAGCTGATTTTACTCAGGTTTACAGTGAAAATTAGGAGGAAAATGAAGAGGAAGAAGAGGTGAGATGTGCCGTTTGTCAAGGAGAAGAACGTGCTGTAAGCTGTGAAGAAAAGGAGTGGGGGAAGGGGCGGCAGTTGTTTAAAAGCAGCAGCATACTTGGATGAGGAAGACAGGAAGGGGCTAGAGGGCGCTGCGTTTCAGGAAGCAACAAGACCTCATAAATGGGCTGTTCCAGAGCATAAAGCCACAAGCTCGTTTGAAATAGCAAACTATGGGAGCACCATGCTTGAGCAGGACGGTCTAGGAAGATGTTTTCCAAGACTCTTCCACCCAGACGCTCAGGCTGCTTTCCTCATTGCTAGTGGCCGAGTCGGAAGAGCAGCAGGTGACAATTGAAGTTCAAGGTGTCAGCCCACCAACAGGCAACTCCCTGAGGAGACCACAGACCCTGGAATGTCTTTTGCTTCTGCTGTGCCTTTCCATGCTTGCTGCTGCCATCTTTCTCTAGTATATCTGGCACGGTGTGAGTAGGTGTGGGGAGAGCCCCGCTGCCTGTAACGTAGTGTGTTTATGTCATGGAAATATTTCCGTATACTGGGCATTCTTGCCTGCGGATGATTATGGAGATGACTCCTTCCTAAGCTGTGCTGTCTAATTGATAATAGTGTTAGTTTACATTGGGTTTTGATGATAAAATATATAAACAAGGAAGTGTCACACAGCTAGAATACGAGTTTCTATTGAGAACCCATTTAGACTGTGGCTTAGGTTAATAATTTAAAACAACAACTGAGTCCCAGTAGTCCAGCTTGCTTAAATTCTCTTAACCTTAATGTTAGGAGGTGTGTTCACAGGTTTCGGGGTGCATAACAGATGAACCAACGCGACTAAGATGTTTTCATCAAATAGCTTTGAAGTGAAAAACCCAAGAAGGATAATCTAAAGTTTTAGGAAGGCACAGAGTTGAGTGAGGACACTTTAAGGGGAGGGAACAAGAACAAAGCAGCCCAGTTATTACTGACACTTTTCTTGTTTGGATTGGTTGATGACCAAAGGTGATGATGATTAATTCCTTATACCCATTTCTGCCCTTATCTCTTGACATAAAAAAAATTGTTGCTGGGTGGATATGTACCTAAAGATTTAAAGTAGAGCTGACTGATTCCTCTTATTTTTCATATATAGAAGTTTAGGTTTACGATTCCTAAGATTCCTTATTGCCTTTCAAGATAAGTAATAAAGTAATTGGCCCTTTCTTTGTAACTGCAAAATGCAGCCTGCCAGTAAAAGACCCGACTGAGATGACTAACTTGCTTCCTACATGGTTAATCTATAACAAATGTATGTGGATTCTTGGGACAATTTATTTTTCACCTGTAATCCGTAAAATGTTTAATCATGTGAGGGAGGTGAAAAAGATGTTGTTACTTGTATTCATTATAGTCATTCACTTGAAAAATAGAATGTAACCACACTGTGATTCCTACATTATCTGAAAAACTTTGTTGGGTATATAAGCTTTAGAGGAAAAAAAGTATACAGTAGGAAGAACACAAAAGAATAGAGAATAAAGAAGGAAACCACCAAGAGAGAGTGGGAATGTCATTTTCCCCAACCCCCTCAGATAAAAAAGTCACAGTACGAGCCGGCTGTGAATTCCCTTTGAACCCTATGCTGCTGGAGGCTGGCCTCCCAAGCAGTGACACATCATGTTCCAGGGCAACCAGGTTACTTCTTAAGATGGCAGCGACCCTTGGCTTTGGCCATATGGTGCTGGTTTTACTGGCCCACATAATTCGTGAGTTACGAGATCATGGAGGTATGCACCTAGATCACGGAGCCATGTTTCCCAATGTGTGGCAGGATTTGGGAGTCAGTGGAGCCTGACGAGATGGGGACTAGCTGGAGAAATAGATGCCAAAGGTGGCCTCTGAAGGTGGTAGCCCAGCCCCTAATTTCAGTCTTGTTCTTTGCTTCTTGGGCTGTCACCGTGTGAAGGGACTCTGCCACTCGCCTCCTCCTCAACTGAGATTCTCCATCATGCTACAGGACTGTGTGTGGTCGAAAACTCTCAGAAATCAATGCACAAAATGACATCCTTCCCATCCATTTTCTCTGTCATGTATTTTTTTTCATAGTGACACAAAAATAAATACTACAGTGTCCCACTCAGCTAGCCTTTCCAATGCCTCTTACTTCCCCCTTCCTCCACGGTGTTTTCAGTCTAAAGAAGCCTATGGTGTGTTAACACGAACCCGGGATAGTGCGTTACTAACTCAAGCAAGATGAAATGCGTGATGCTGCTTCTGAGCAAATGCTATTAACTTAGACTTAAGTCAATGACTTAGGATTTCTGTCGCTGTGATGAAAGACCGTGACCAAAAGCAGCTTGAGGAAGAACGGGTTTATTTCTAACACAAGCCCATAAACAGTCCACCACTAAAAGCTGTGAAGATAGGAACTCAAACAGGGCAGGAATCTGGAATCAGGAGCTGATGCAGAGGCCATGGAGGGGTGCTGTTTACTGCCTTGCTCCCCGTGGCTTACTCAGTCTACCTTCTTATAGAACCCAGGACCACCAGCCCAGCGATGGCACCGCCCACATCTATCTGTAAGAAAATGCCTTACAGGCTTGCCTAGTCTGTTCTTATGGAGGTATTTTCTCAATTGAGAATCCCTCTTCCCAAATAACTCTAGCTTATATCAAACTGACAAAAAAAAAAAAAAAAAAAAAAAAACTTGGAAGGAAAGAAGATACGCAAAGAAGGACAGTATGAAGTGCCAGTGTCTCACGGTCATCCTTCCATGTGGAAGGGTTTTATCTGCACACTTAGATAACAGTGCTTCAGCAGGGTGGACCATTCTCCACTGTAGCCCATGGGCTCAGTGCTGCGCCTTATGAATGTCAGATGCTGAGTTACTACTTTCTCTCGTTGAACGTGTCACATGGCGGGAAGAAATGTCAACTGAGTAATGATATATCGAGATAACATCAGTGGAAACCTGGTCCTTATAAACCTGCCCTCTGTTCTGTCACACGCTACGAGCAAATCACACGAAGTGCAAGACATCGACTTGCTTCTTAGGTTCTTAGAAAGGACACCAGTTACTCCTGGGAAGCCAGCTAGTGGTCAGGAGACTTTTTAAAGTGATGATGTCATTGGTGGCCTGCTTTGGTATCTCATTATGATTTATAAATCTGTAAGTAAAATGGTCAAATTCTTCAAGTTGACTATGAAAAAAGACAGATTTGGGTAAGAGAGATGGAGGGGCATTCGAACAGTGGAGCAAGGGACGGTGCTCTTTCTCTACATCACACTCAGGCCAGAGGACCTCTGCCCATGATGACCATGCTTCCAAATTGGGGTGCAGGCTGCTTTGTCTTTAGTGGAAACAAGCATTAAGACTGCAATGCTATGGGAGCCCATGACAAAGGATGGAGATCAGACTCCTTCAAATGCCTTCCCCACACCAGGTTGTCACTGACCTGTGTGTTTGTACGTCACAGCCCCTGAGATGACATCTCCCTGAGAGAACCTGTCCACGCGGATTCCAGCCTTTCTCACCACCCCATGCTGAGGTTCTCGGGCAATCAGAAACAAGAGTTTCAAGTCGTCGCTGTCTGCATCAGTAGCAAAAATGTACTCAGGGGTGATAGTCACTTCTCCACCCTCTGAGCAATGCATCATGGGGATGAGGTCGGCCTTGAGAACAGGTGGCTCATCATTCACAGGGAATACCTAAGCAGGAAAAAAAAAAAAAGAGCACAGCTTTGAGGAAAAAAAGAAGTGACAAATGTCCCAGCTGGTAAAGCACCGCTCACAGTCACGGTAACAGGCATTTTTCATCTTCCGGACACATGGAACAATAGCCGTGAAATTTGGCCAAAGCAGCCAGAGTCTTTTGACTTTCTCAATTGGTGGAGGAATGCTCCGCATGAGAGATCATTTAGGCAGGAATGGGAGTCTGTGGCTATAGCTGGGAACTCAGAGCGCTCACTATTCTCAAAAGACAAAGCAGACATGCAACATAGAGCATCCCTCCCTTTAACACACAGCCTCTTTCATCAACACACACATTCCGCAAGAATTCGGGGCCCAGTGGTTGGATGCATGTACATCCATGACATGAAAGTTATTTCTATTTCACATTACCAGGTGATTCAAAGCTTTCTGCCACCTTCAACTTCTGGCTACCCACAATGTTTCCACGGGTCCATGGGGAACATAACAGCATGTCAAATGGCTTGAGTCACAGGGTTTTGTTTGTTGTTTGGTTGGCTGGCTGGTTGGTTGGTTGATTTAACTTTGTAGCTGTTTCTTATTAACTTTGTAGCTGTTTCTTAGGCTGTTTGGTTGATGGGTACTAGCCTGTGAGCCCGTGTACCCTTTCAGCCCTACACAACCTTCTACATACTTAGCCAAAGTGATCTTAGTAAGCAAAGTTTCAATTGCTGGTCTGCAGGGTTCTTCAGTGTCTCCTCTGAAGATTCTCCCAGGAGTCTCTAGTGTAACCTGCCACGGGGGCCTTCGCCACCCCTCTCTATTTCCACCCAAGCACACACTCCTTGCCATCTGTCAGGGCCTCTGTCTCCCCCTTGAGCCTGCCCAGTACATGCTGACTCAATCTCTTTGTACAACTGATTTCTGCCTCAGACCCCATGCGTGTTTTCCAAGGAAGGTTTCCTGATCACTCGGAATAATTGAGAAGCTTCAATTATTTACACTTCTGTTCATAAAACATATATATGATATATGTGTGTGTGTGTGTGTGTGTTAGTCAATTATCTTCGTGATTATCCAGTTAGTGGCTGTCATACTCTGTGGTCTGTAACTTCAAGAACAGGAACCTTGTTTATCTTATTCCTAATTGTTCAACAAGCATCTATCTAAGACCCCACATGTATTACAGAAGGTGCTAACTAAACCTTTGTTGGATGAATAAATGAATGATTGTAACTTTACCTGGCTCCTAGGCATTCAAAGGCTAACAGCTGTAGACAAATACAAGAGAACGATGCTGATGCCTTCCTATAATGGATACAGGAATGAGTGGGTAGATGCTCTAACTTAGTTAGGAAAGGTGTAAAAATGTTATTGTCTGTTCTCCCCTTTGCCTATGAAGAAAAATAATTATCTTTGTTTATATCTTCTATGTGAATCCATTAAAGACTTCTCTTTCTTGCTTGACCCTAAGAAATTTTATCAATTTGTTCACATGGATGATAACTGTGAAAAGTCATTGTGAGGGGAAAAAAATCACAAACATTGTCAAAAAAATTGTTTTGTCTGGCTTTTAAAAATTATGTCCTTTAATTTAAAAAGTAACAAAAAATGAAAAAAAATGTTTTTTTTTCTTTTGCTAAAATGTGCTGATTATTGCCAGGCATAATAAGATGGTCATATATAACAGACAGGAGTAGGGTCTTTCCTCAAAAAAAAAAATGGAAAAGTAACTCAGAGAATCTGTCTTTGTATATAAAAGTTTCCCATAAAGAAAACATTGCTTCTTGAAGCTGAAATGGTCTCCAGCTTCTCATGGAGCCGTCACAGGCCTTTGTGAGGAGTAAGGAGGAAAAGGAGAGACTATAGAACCTGGCAGAGTAGGCGATCAATAACAGCCAGGGAGGAGCAGGGCCACAAAATGAGGAAGAACGCCTCCTATTATTACACCCCCCAAGTTCAGAGCCTGGAACCAGCTGCAGACTCTTCAGCAGCCGAAGCGTGTTAAAGAAAGATAATTTCTTCCATGTCTGTTTTTACAAACAATCTATAGATATTAACACTCTATTAATGACCGGCTATAAAATATCTTCCAGATGCATAGCATTTTATGTCGCTGAATTCTAGCCCATACTCAAACAGGAGAGAGGGAAGGGAGCAGGGCGAGACTACTCAGGGCCCTTCAGGGAACGTGATAAACTTCTCTCTTAGCGACTATTAACACTTGCAAACCATCTGCTGATGCTCATGGCCTCGGTCACCCACATCAGAGAAACACCCAAGTTCTCAGAAGGCCCTTGGACATGCGTCAACTTTGTGAGTAAACTTTGTCAGAGGAAGGGGGAAAATGACTTCAGGGTTGTGGTAGAGACATTCCTAATGGAGTCCCACATGCATGGCTTTGTCCACAAGGAAAGAGAACCCCAGTGGTTCCGGACAGTCTTCCCAGCTGCTAATAGAGCTTGTGTGTCATAGTTCAAAAATATTAGACATATTTTATATTACAGAATAAACTACATTTTAAATTGGGTATCTGTATTCAAGCTTAGAATAATTTTAACTTCAGATAAACTGGGGTGGGGTAGGGAGATGGAATAAGTAAGTCTGTTTTGGTAGAGACTTTTTTTAATATTAATTTATTTATTATGTATACAATATTCTGTCTGTGTGTATGTCTGCAGGCCAGAAGAGGGCACCAGACCTCATTAGAGTTGGTTGTGAGCCACCATGTGGTTGCCGGGAATTGAACTCAGGACCTTTGGAAAAGCAGGCAATGTTCTTAACCATTGAGCCATCTCTTCAGGCTCTCCGTAGAGTCTTTGTCTCCACTGCCTGACTAGAGACGCTCACAGACACAGCTGGCAACCTTCTGCTTTGCAGTCTGTGTAGTTTAAGTTGTTCTGGGACCCCGAGGAGTTCCCAGAATAGAGACTTTACATTCAAATGACTCAGGGAGGAAACTTTCTACCCACCTCAATGTGTAGGACAAATTCTGCTGAGTTTGTGCCATCTGTGACCTCCAAGAATATCGCATCCTGGAAAACCTCAGCTCCGTCATGGCGATACCTACAGGGATGGTATGGAAGCCAGTCTTTTAAAACCACACGGGTGTAAACTAAGTTGCATGGCATAAGCGCTCCTCTGTAGTGATATTTCACTTGTATCTTAATAAATAAAGCTTGCCTGAAGATTAGAGAGTAAAACAGCCCCTGGTCAACCTTACACACCAGGCAGTGGTGACACACACCTTTAATCCCAGTAGCTACACTAGTTTGCCATAGAAACCGGGTGGTATTGGTGCACGTCGTTAATCTCAGGCCTAGAGAGGATATAAAATGAGAGGAGACAGCTCTCAGACACAGTCTCCTTCTGAGATTCCTGGAGGCAGGATCGCCATTTCAGACTGAGGTAGAGGTAAGAGCCAGTGGCTGGCTGTTTTTCTTTTCTGACCTTCAGGTTGAACCCCAATATCTGTCTCTGGGTTTTTAATAATCGTGCTACACTCCTCCATCACCTTGGCCATGACTTCAGTAAATAAGTAATTATTTAAATGAGCAAATCAGAAGAAAAGCAGTATGACTATAAATGAGAAGATACGTAACCACTCATTATCCCTAAATGTAAACTTGTTCTACCTGGGAAAACATTATGTGTGCATTGGTAATTTTTCCCCAAAACAAAAACAAAACAAACAAACAAAAACAACCCTTTGGAAGCAGGAGAAACAGCTTAAAGTTAAAATCCTGGTCTGTTCTTACACAAAACCTCAGGTCAGCTCCCAACACCCTTGTTAGGTAGCTCAGAGCCACCTGTAACTCCAACTCCAGGGTCTCTGTGGTCTCTGCCTCCATGGCTGCCTGCATTCACATGAACATATCCACACACGTGCATGTGTATGTGCATGCGTTCATGAAAGCACACACACGTAATTAAAAATAATCTTGAGAATAGACTTCAGAAAGCAGGCCTCCAGTGGCCTCTGTAACAGAGGGAAATCCTTGGCCTGGTCGCTATGCAACAGCAGAGCATGGCTGACTGGAGCCAGAGTGACCCCGAGACGAAGCAGAACACCCCCAGATCCCTGTGCTATGAGCTCTTCCACTCCTGTTGAACGTCTTGATCTATGAGCTAGGTATGGCCTCCTCCACCATATTCCATATTCCATCTACATATCTCCCCAGGCTTAAAAAGACCTTTTTGGTTGTTGCTGTTCTAACCTTGGCCCTAACTTTCTCTGAATTCTCAGCCAATTTTTTTAAAAAAGAAATTGTTTAATCCTAGGCCTTTCAAACACTTTCTATGTGACAGCGACAGTCAGCTAATTCTAAGTAACTCTTGATTTAACTGAGTTTTTTTTTTAAATCACACCAATGATTTGTTCATACTAACAAATAGAATTATACCCCTAGGAATCAAAAATAAAAGATTCAACAAAACAGTATAGTATATTGAACCTATATGATATTGTTACATGGCCAAAAAGGACTATATTTTATTCAAGATGGGTCACCACTAGGGTGATAATGGATTCAGTCCCAATAGCAGGGGAGGCCTATACTCTGTTACACCCCTGCCTCTCAAGCACACTGCCTTCTGTGCTGTGTCTTCCCATGCCTCTTACTGCTTCCACCAAAAATAATTATGAGTTGCAGTGTGCTGATCCATTTCACAATGCTGCTGTCCCTAAAACAGCTAAGGGTATCTGGGAATGCACCCATGTGAAGCCAGACAGTGGAGCCAAGCAGATCCTTAAGACCCAACTCCTGAAAACACTCGCAGATGCCTCAGCCTTTTCGTGCTTAGTTCTGCGTGAGAACAGAATGATGTACCGCGTCAGTCTTGATGACTTGGGTTAAATAACTCAAAAAGACTTAACTGAAGTTCTCTAGAAAGGTGACAATGCGTAGAATTCCAGAAAATATTTCTACTTTTTTCTGTCCACCATTCGTCCCAGCACTGCCTGCACAAAAGTCTTAACACATAGATAGGAGATGAGATTTTAGGATCCAAGCTAGAAGCTTAACAGAAAAATCTTTTGTGTGTGTGTGGTTTTTCTGAGACAGGGTTTCTTTGTGTAACAGCATTGGTTGCTATAGAACTCACTTTGCAGATCAGGCTGGCCTCAAACTCTCAGGCATCCACCTGCCTCTACCTCACTAGTGCTAGAATTAAAGGCCCGCACCACCACACCTGGCCAAAACAGGAAACTCTACTTGGAATAGGTGAATACCGAAAGGGGCCAGAAAAGATTCTAAGTCTGATCTAACTGGGCTGTAAAGGTTTGAGTGACCTCATATGCAGTTTCCGATCCCTAGTGACCTTTCTGGCTAAAAACTAAGCGTCTGACAACAAACACCTTGTACCACACTTCACTAACAAAGGGTGAGGTGTCCATTTGTCAGATTTGGTAAGTGGAAAATTGTCTGCCTGTCTGCCTGACCGTTACTTTTAAGCAGCTTGCAATGTTCTCCAGAGATGTCTCACTTGATTTTGTGAAAAGGTTTCTTACAACTATATTAGTAGAGAAAGGGAAGATCTCCAATAGGAGCTGCTGTGAGGATTTCTCCACCCATTGCTCTCAGTGACTTGAGTCCAGAACCGCGGCCTTCCCACCAGCAGGCTCTACTTGTTGACCTGCAAACCTGTGCCCAGTAGAATGAAATAAAAGCTTATCCTTAAAACGTGGGTGGACAAAGCTAGCCATTACCGCCCCATTCCTCCCGCCCTCTGCTCTTACCAGGCTGGCCTTGAACTCCCAATCCCCCTGGCTCAGCATCCCGAGCCTTGGGATTAGAGGCGTAGGCTGCCATACCCCTGCGTTTCCAAGGCTATGAAACTGCCTCTTCTAAGAGCCAACTTCAATTAGCTGCACAGATTACTTTAGTCTCTACTGGGTTTGTGATATGTGCATTTGTGGCAAAATGACAATTCGTGGTAATTAATTCTTGTTGCACAAATATTCATAAACTCACTCCCTCTGCTATAGTAAGCCAGAGAGAAAGAAAATTATTCTTTTCCACTTCTCTAATTTTCAATTGAGCATTAACAATATGAAGTGGCGTATGGTTCGGAAAGGGTTAGACAGGTTTCTTTCTCAGCACTGCGCTTCACAGTTGGTCTGGATAGACAGCCAATGCATAAAAAGGAAAAAAAAACAAAAACCACAAAATTTTCTAACCTAACTTTTAAGGTAATGAGGTCCTTCCATGAAAATGTGTCTCTTGGGTTAAGAGGAAACCCATTCAGCTCTACCCTGCCGTGGAGAGGCATCTTCCGAAGAGAGAGACAGATGCTGTCCAGTGGGGTGTCCACATCAGAAACCAGAATGTTCTCTGTGCTGACGGTGCACTGACCACCCTCGGACACTCTCAGGGTGTTGGTGAATACCTGGATAGAAGGAAGAACACACAAGGCTTTGTTCAATAAGATGCTGCTGAACACAAGGTCCTCGAATCCCTAGAAAAATTCCAGAACCATCCCCACACGCCAATTAACCTTTCGAGACTGTTTATAAAGCCATAAGTAGAGCTAAATAATCTGTCTGAAAAACATTTTATTGCATATTTTCAGTTCCAAGTTTTGATACATGCAAAGACACAAAGCCAGACCCCCCCATTTGAAAGCACCTACACTTCACGAGTCCCAGAGCCTGGGTAGCAGAGCCAGCAAAAAGGAGGCTGCAGCAATACTTAACTGAGAGAAAAACTCCTACCATCATCTCACAGCCTTTGCCAAATCCCCATGAAGGAAAGGATCCACCTCTTTTTTTAAAGCCTAAAACACTGGTTCTCAACATGTGGGCTGCGACCCCTTTGGGGTCAAACAACCCTTTCACAGGGGTCAGATATCCTGCATATCAGATATTTACATTCTGACTCATGACAGTAGCAAATTTACAGTCATGAAGCAGCAATGAAATTAATTTTATGTTTGGGGGTCACCACAACATGAGGAGCTGTATTAAAGGGTCACAGCATTAGAGAGTTGAGAACCACTGCCCCCAAAATTCTTTAAGACTTGGGAGGTTGGTAGAAACGCCATTGTGTGTTTTGCAGACAGAGCGGGGACAGGGAAACTGAAGACAAGAGGGTTACAATTCCAGGGGAAATAGATTTATTCAAACATTAGACTTAACTATTAAAAACCACAAGGGCGATTTCAATACAAAACAAAGCAAAAACCCCAGTGTTCACCTAACAATTAAATCATAGGCACAAAGCAAGTTCGATGGAGCAGCTTGGTATATTTTATTACCACACTAGGAGTGGGGAAGATGTGTTCTGTGATTAAACAAGTCTAGAAAACTGTGATCTACAGTGTATTCACTATATTTGCAAGGTATGCACATGTGCTCCGGGCTCTGAGACTATAGCAGAAAACCCTATAGAGTTTACTTAGCACAACAGCTTCCAAAATTAATACTGCTACAGAGAAGGAAAAGACAACAGATAGTTTTGGCACTTCAAATAGTGGGCTCTGACGGTTCCTCACAGAAGACCCATGGTAAGCACACTTCCATACAAGGACAACTCTTACACAAAGAATCACCTTTCTCAGCAAGATGAGGTCACAGCCTCCACCCTGCACACATCCTCCCCTGCTGATCAACAGGACACAGAATGAGGGAAGTCAATCATTCCAGAGCCATCAGAGACACTCGTGCCCGTCTCCAGGGCAGCACCCTGGGTCATGGAAAGAAGACTCTAACTAGAATATGGCTGCCTTCATCTTTAGTAAACTACCACCAGCAAAGAAAAACGCAAGAATAATCGACTTCCCTCTCTGCCGCCCACCCCGACAGTCCTTCCTAAATGCTTCCCGCTGATTTGCAACACCTCCATCTTCACTATGAGTAGAAGGAAGAACGGGACGCTTTCCAGAGGGAACATGCACCAACGGCCATGCACACAAGACCTATTTTCTCAGTGAACCAAGTTAGTCTCCCAAATAGGGAACACTGCATAAAATACAATTTATTTAATACATAAGGTGATTTTCGAAATATTTCTTTTAAAGCAAGCTAAACCCTTAAAATCCTGAGGGTTCATGAGTAACACTTAGGGGGCCCCTGGTTTGCATGGTGTCAACATGCGCTAATGATTATCATTCAACTCGATTTCATATCGTACAAGAACCAATTCAACTTCAAATATTCTCAGTTCTTTGAACTACTGCTTCATTTGTCCTTAGCTCATAAACAAATGAGATAAATCAATATCCGCTGTAGCCCTAAGTCCTCGCTATTTCATCTCCTTTCAAATGAAGATAACTCTTCTATCTGCTCCAAGATTACCTGCACACAGATCATCCTTCTCCAAGCTTAGAGGGGATTTTGTTTTTATTTTTTGCATAAAATAAGACTTTTCAACAAGTTTTGTAGGGGAGGCTTCTGTTGAGGATCTAAATTTCATACATGGACAAGGGTGGCCTAACAAATCGAATCATGTTCACTCGATAGCCGTTCGGACTTATATTCACCACCAGCACCAGGCCAGGTCTTCAGCGGGGAAAGGGACCCAGATGGAGTTGGTTCAGATGCCTTCTGGTTGAAGAGCTGTCAACACTTCTTCAGCCACAGATTGCAAGCTCGCCAGCTTGAGAGACTGGGCCGCTGACATAAGTGAGCGCAGTGTGTTGTGGGGACTCTGAAAATGGATGGCTCATCCCGCCCGGCAGCCATGCTGTCTGCGGGCTCAGTGCTAGTAGGGCTCTATATTTTCTAGAGAAACCCCAAGCCAGCCTTGTTAGGAAATCTTCTGTCCCTTCAAGTTTGCAACTTCACAACTTAAAAGATTAAAATAATATTATAAAATTAATAATTAATAAAAAATACTTAGAGCCATTGAGCCGTCTCTGCATGTTGAGTAATTGCCTTCCCTTGGACATTCCAGTAAGAAATCTGTTCGCTGACCCGAGGCAGGTGCAGCTGTCATGAGTCAGCAGAAAAGAAAACATCAGGACTGGCCATAGTCATATAGTTGGATGCCTGGGGAAGTCACCAAGCTGGGAAGGTCTAGGGCTTTTTGGTCTATAACAAATGGGAGATAATATTCCTTTGTCTTTCCATTTTTAAGGGTAAAAAAATAATCCCAATAATAGTCACACTAATCAAGTATGGTAATCTGGGGGGGAAGGGTGACCCAGAAAAAAACCTCTCTAAGCAAACCAGCCTCAGAGAGAAGACATAGCAGGCAGCAACGCCTTTGTAGTTTGGTTTTAAAGAAAAACTCAGACCCCTTCAGACTTCCCTAAACAGTGAGCAGTGGCATGAGGTAAAACGAAAGGGTCCATCCTAATTCATTTTGGAAAATTAAAAAGCTTCTTTGGATCACACAGCAGCATAGCTGGCCTGTGGTGAGAGCAAATAGGTTCTTCTGGTTGCTAAGAGACCCATCATTTAATCTCCTTCCCCTGATCAACAAGGGGCGCTCAGCAGAATGAAAGAGATGTTGATAAGGCTTTGAAAACAATGCCAAACTCAACATAGAAAAATTCTCACCTTTCAGATAGGAAGCCCCATGGGAAGTAGAGTCTCCCACCCACACCCACCCCTACTCGTTTTCTATACTGCAGCAGGGAAATTAAAACATTACTCTTCTTTCCCTCCTTTTGGCCCTCCATGTCAAACACGGCATACCTCAGGAACCTGATTGTCCACTGGGAGAATAGTGATGTTGAAGCAGATTCCGTGCAAGGTGCCTCCACGCTGGTTCCTGACAGACACTGTGAACTGCACATGTCGAGGGGTGGGACCTATATCTTGCATGGGTGGCATGTAGCCCACTTTCATATGGTTCACAGCGTGCTGGGAAGCAAATGGAGACAGACATAGGCATTGGTTTGCAGAGATCGGAGTCCTTTAGTAACCTAAGTCTGAGACCACTGTGTGAGCATTGATTAGGAGCACAGTAAGTATCAGCATGAATGGAAAGATTCCCAAGATTCTCCTTTGTAAACCACATTGCTGACACATGAGAGGAAAACTGAAGAAGTCAGGCAGTATGTCAAATGATGGAGCCCAACCAACTCTGCAAAAGGCACACAGACTTTCCTCCATCCCTCTGTGCAGTCGCTGTTCTGACACAAACTGTGTAAGCCCGCAGGGCCTCTGCTTCCTTGTTAGTAAAGTTATCAAAACAGTAGCATTTAGCACATTTACAGCTTCGAACTATTAAGAAATCAGACATAATCAGCCCCAAACCACAGATGTCTGATACCAGACCCTCCCTGGGGTCTTCAGAGGAAAGTTGACAAGAGTGAGCAGAGGGGTAGGAAGGATTTAGGAGAGTGGCAAGTACTATGGGATAAGCTGCAACCCTGTAAAATTACATATTGAAGTTCCTTAAAACCTTAGAGTGTGAATTCATCTAGAAATCGAGCCATTTCAGAAGTTTGTAGGAGAAATACTTGAGTAGCAGAGGTCCTCAAGCCAATAGAACTGGTCCCCTTCTAACAGGAAGAGACAGATGGGGGCAGACATGATTGACAGAAAACAAAGCTGAAGATGATGCATTTTCACGCCAAGGGATACCAAAGTCTGCTAAACAAAGCACTAGATGCTCATGAGCCAGGAGGAAGAGCGGCCTGCAGGGCTGAGAAGACCACACCTGCCAATGCCACGATCTCAACACTTCTAGCTTCAGGAAGTACAGGAAAACAGGGCTCTTTTTTGAACTACAAAATGTGTGGTAGTTTCTTATGATAACAAGACAGTAGAAGGATGCGTGACCTACAGCTGGTAGAATGAAAACACAGACATGGGGCTGAAACCAGCGCCCAGCCACTGCCAAAATGATGATGCCAAAGGCCGTGCGGATTTATAACAAGGTTTGTCATTACATTCGGTTTAGCAAAAGCCTTCCAAGCAGATATCACATGTTTATCAGAAGGGTTCACGCACAAGGCACTGTGGCAGAAGAGACTGGCTAGCATCTCAGTCCCAACACTGGGCAAGCCACACCTTCTCAGCAGCTACATTGCATATTGTGTTGGCCAACATTTTCACAAATTCTCATACCTGGGTAAATGACCGGAGCGCCAGGGCTGTAGGGTTTTTGGTTAGCTTTGGTATGCTGTCCACCATGAATAACTTCCCGGCGTCCAAGTGTCTAAGAGAAATACAGACCACATCAGTTATTTTCCAGCTAAGAAAAATTAGATCAAATCACCCTTTGTTGGGGCACAAAGGTCCTTGCACCCACAGACCACCAGGGAAACCAGGAATGTTAAGCATGTAGCACTGTCCTCTCAAAGAAAAGGACGGATAACCTATTTTTCCATCCATAAGGCTGGAACTCGTAGGTGCTTAACAGCCTAGTGATCTGTGTTATCGGCAGGGCCAGGCCATAACAAGTTCATACAACCAGGACCAGACATGGCTAACAGTCCAAATGATCTCTGTGCTGTCTGCGTGACCAGGACCATCCCTAGGCCCTTTAGCTGATGTAGGCAGCCTATCTCCAGACTTCATCTTCTTGGAAGAGACAACATGAGTTCTGATGTAACTATGCATCTTTGTGCTCCAGGGATTGTATTACACCAGAAAACTTTCCCCCAAATTGAACCGTGCTTAAATATGCTGGCAGAAAACCACTCGGCACAGACTCTCCAGAAGTTTGATCTAGACTGACTAAGTTGTTCTCACCTCTTCATGGTTTATTTTCCTGACTTCCATGACACTTACAGGGACCACTACATCACAACCAGCTTTTTAAAAACACCTCATTGTGGGGCAAAAGCAGATGCTCTATCTTTTTAGACTCTTTATGTTGGAGGCTTGTAACCTGAAGTCCAGCATCTCCTATGCCACCCTCAGCATGAGTAAACAAAGGTTTTTTTTTTGCTGTGTCATGATGAAAATGAATCATTTGTCTCACTGGTCATGAGAAAACCTAAGGGATAACCTAAGGGATAGTTATGCTACTGTTTTGAATTGATATTATAAAATATGAATACCAAGTAATCTGCCGTATCTAAAAATAATACTTTGCAGACTTCAATAAACATTAAAAAAAATAAGAATTCACCTTAGAGAAATGGGATTTTGAATGTTTTGCTTAAGTCTCACTGTGCTGAAAAGTACAAGCTGCATGACAGTCACTAGCTGTCACTCAGTGAAGGTCAGGACAAATTTGTGATAAAAGTGAATTGGATGTAAGTTCAAGTCTGACCAATGGAGAGCTGAGTCACACTGCCACACAGTGACACGCTTAGAACCAGTGCAACAGACAGTAGCTTTACAAAGGCACCTGTGGGTGAAGAAGAAACACGGAGGACGTGTTACTGTGTAGACGAGCTTCCCATCCTGTGATTCTGTATCTAGGAAATGTAGGTGCTTTTTAGTGATGTAGGCCACCTCCGTTTCCTTGACAACCAAATGCCGGGAAATGCCAGGAGCTTCTTTTGGAAGCTGGTCAGCTACTGGAGAGATATGGATCGTCACGACCTGGAGTAAAAATGCGCTGCTCTATTAAACTGAAACACAAGAAAACACCAAAGAGAATGCCCCAGGATTGCCTAGAAATAGCTAAGATGACTGCTCCGAACTGACAATCTACTTCTGTCAAACGACTTAGGAACTACTAAGGTTTTGCTCATCTGATTTTATGTTTTAAATATATAATCATCGAGACAGATATGATGGCACATGCCTTTAATCCCAACACTCCAGAGGCGGAGGTGGAGTGTATATATGTGTGTGTGTGTGTGTGTGTGTGTGTGTGTGTGTGTGTGTGTGTGTGTATTCATCACACCTCTAGCCTATTCACTGGGAATCTCAGGAAATGAGCATACAGAACACCAAGTCCAGTCCCAATTTTATTTTTCTACCTCCTCTCTAGTAATAGCCCGTGTGTCTTTCCTCCCTCACCCATCATTAATCCTGGACACCTTCCTGTCTGTCACTCCTGCTTTCTCCTTTCTCATTCCCATCCGACCTATTGCCAAGTTTCTACTGACAAATTTTCTGTATCACTCTTGTAATTTTTTCCTAATGTGGTTGCAGCAGCCCTAACGCCACTTGCTATTCTAGACTTTTTGTTAACTTGCACTAACTTTAAAAACCACGAATCAAATTAGTTAGTGCACCTCCCCCCAAACCTTAAAGCGACCACCCAGGAAGTATGATTATTCAAGCTCCTTAGCATGACATTCCAGAGCTTTCAGAGTTCACACATACTACAATTTTCAACTTTATTTTTTATTTCCTTTCAACGTAACGCAACACTCTAGAGACACGTTCCTTCCCCTCCCTCAGATTAGGATCATATTGTTTCTTCACTCTGATGCTTCTCTCTTGCTGCCTCTGAAAATCTGATTACTTTTACTCTTGCAGGATATTCTAGATTCCCCTTCCAGTTCCTGAATTGGAACTGTTTCTGAACTCGGCTTCTTCCTTGTAGTTCCATTGAGTGACTCATCTTGGAAGTCGACAGTGTAACAGTACTGAGATGATTAGGCCAGGAGGGTTCTGCCCCCACAAGGAGATTGGGTCCCTATAAGACCACATGAACAGGAAAGTTTGTCCTTCTATCGTGTCCTGCCTTTTGAGGGCCTAGAGTTTGTCCTCTTACGAGTACAAGACAACAAGGTGCCACCTTAAGAACAAAGAATGACCCTCACCAGAAAAAGAAACTTCTGCTACCTTGACCCTGGAATTTCCAGTCTTCCAACAGTAAGAAATGTTTCTGTAATCTATTAATTATTCTGTTATTTTATTAGAGTCTTTAAAAAACTAAAACCAGTTATCAAAATAAAAGATATAAAGACAATCATATTTCTAGTCCCCTAAATCTGTGTCATGGTTTTTATCCCGCTTACGGTATTTTTCTAATCTGCAAAGTTCAGAAATTCTCTATGGGCTCTCGCAGCTATGGTGTGGATCAGCGAGTCTCTCCTTAATTGAAAAACTGGATTTAATAAGGAAACAATAGTTATTGTGCCTTCAAAGAGACCATTTTCCATGCTAATTTATTCTCCAATGTGTTCTTTATGAAAGAAGAATGAGAGAGCATGCTTCTTATCCCCTGTAGTAATTCTTGGTGGGCACATTTTTCAACATGCTTTATGATTGCCTAAGTTGATGTGTCTTTACATATTTATGCATGCTCAAACAATTAGTGTGTGTATCTGTGGGCAAGAGAAATTCCATTTTAGCAAACTCCACAGAGAAATAAAAGCATTCTCATTGTGCTGGAATCTGTTCATAACAAAGATATTATTAAGAGCCATTCCCAGGCAGAGTGGGAACCCATTTTCAAACCAGTCACCAGCCTCCAGACTCCAGCTTCCCTCAAGCCCTCCGATGTCCCCGTGGCTGCAAGCACACACGGACCGACAAGGAATCAGAATAACAAGTAGAAGGTCGGAATGCAAGATGCCTGGGTCAGACCCTGACCTCGGATTCAAGCTCTGTAGTTACTTTCTTGTGGCCTGGGTTATTGCTCCTTCATGTGCCCTGAGCTCTGACGCTAGCCTGCTCTTTATTTTTCACGTTGATTTCTCAGTACCAAGAATTACTTCCATCGTTAGGACTGGCCGCTATTAACTACAGCAGTTTTGCGTGAGTTTTTAGGAAAACACACTAAACGTTTGTTGAACAAGATAGCTTCTAAGCGCTGATGGCAGAGACAAGTGGAGATGCTGGGGAAAGAGGTGGAGTGAACCTACAATCTGAGCTAGAGAAAGTCATCACTTGGGATCTGCAGGATACAGGCTGCAGGAGTTCCACTGCCCACTGTGGATCTGTGAATATCCCAGTCTCTTAAATAAAAGGCTGGTGTATTTGCATAGCGCCTACACGTATCCCTTTGTATAGTTCAAATTATATTCACATTACTTGCAATAGATCAGATAATGCAAATATAATGTAAATAGTAGTGGTCCATATGGCTTAGGGAGAAACAAGTCAAATAGTATGTGAGGAACATAGGCAACTTAAAAAATACTATTTTTCACCAGATTGCTGAATCAGTGGATGGGAAACCTACCGATAGACAGAGGGGGTGGCTAAGCTTAAGAGCCAGACAAACCAACAAAACGCTACATAAAGACAGGGCAACTCTGTAGCTTTCTTACTCTGTCTCTCTTCCCTAGTCCATAAATAGAAGAACACAGAAGCAGGGAAATGTGCTATTGTGGCTTTCTTCAAAAAAAACAAACAAAAACATCTTGGAGCTGGATGGATAGCTCAGTGGTTAACAGCTCTTGCAGAGGACCTAGGCCCGGTTCTCAGCAGCATCTACAGGGCAGCTCACAACTGTATGCATCTCCAGATCTAGGAGATCTGACACCTTCTTCTGTCTGGACTCCACAAGTACCCAAACGTATGTACACATATTTGTGTGTGTGTCACAAATTTATTTGTATCACACACAAATAAATAAAAATAAATCATAATAAATGAACCCATCTATTATATGGGATAAATTTATAACCAGATATTTAGAATTTAGACTGATTTACTTGCCCAGACTTAGAAATAATTGTTTCAAGAGTTTTGATTAACCTGGTCCGTATTATAATATGTATTTTTCTTCTTGTGTATGAAGAACATGATTTCTAAAAAGCTTAATAAGAAAAAAAGAAAGAATCCTTGAAATCTCAATGTCCGAAAAGACATAGAGCCTTCTAAACATGGTACGATGTTCTAGCAACAGCTTGAGCAGATGCACAGAACCCTTAGACACATATTCTGCTGACAGTTCCCATTCTGAGCTAGCACAATCGCCTGTAAAGGCTCAGCCCAGGAGGACAGGTGAACTACATTGATGAAATGAGGGTGATCACATAAAAGAGCAGATGAATTCAGAGTTCTTTCTACACTTCCTTGCCCATCCTATTCTGAAGACAACACTGAGTTCTTCAGGTTTCAAGCCCTGTGGCATCCTTCTTTCAGATCTCCCATTCAGTATGCCCATGTCAGCAAACATGTACAACCATTACAAGAGGACACACACTTTCTGTATTCTTTCTTGAATAGACTCACAATTTGCTTGCATCCATGCTAATGTTACCTTTGAAGGTAGCAGGTATAATAGCATACAAAATCCATAATCACTTCACTTCAGTTGCTTCTTTTGAAGTTTAACCCTGACTCCCCAGACTTTTACAGTTGTCCATATGCTACATTGATCCCATCTTCTGTGATTTCTATGTGATAATGTTTGCTTCATCTTATTTCTGCTTACTGTGGACTTAAATTATCCCCTCTAACACTAGTCAGATCTGAGATCTTACAAACAACAAATAAAATCCACTGTATTTACCAGGTATCTGAAAGCTCAGCGTTTTCTAGGTAATATGTCACAGTTACCTTAATAAATCTGTTAGGAAATGCCTATCACTTGCTTGAAAGAGAAGCAAAGAGGGATGGAGGTTGATTAGCTAGTGTTGAAAACAGGAGGCAATTCAGAGAAGTTTCCCCCTCGACTCTGCAATTTAAACACTATCTTTAAAAACTGTCTTCTTGGGTGTTGAGGAGTGAGCAGATTTGTGAGGTTGTCTATGCATGTACTAGCTAAGTAACCTTAGAAACAGTATCCATGCAGAAACTTGCAAAGTGCTTTAGAAAAGTGTGGGCATAATACTAGGAGGGGGAGGCATACTTATTTTTGCCCAATCCATTGCTTCTCAGACTTTGAATCTCAAAACCTGATTTCATATATTTTTTAAATAAGACCTCTTAGAGCTAATATACATTAGGAGCATACAACTTTGGGAAGATGCTCTGAAACAGTCTCTCACCTGTGGCCCTGAGAGATTCGGAGGTTCATGGCTGTCCCACAAGACAAATTCAAAAGAATCTCCAAAGATTTCTCCACCAAAGTGACGATAGTAAATGATTCCACTGAACAGGTCTCTCTGAAGGAAGCCAGGGACAGGATACCCTAATGGAACCACAAAAGACCACACAGTTTTAGGTGTTGCAGCCCAGTGAAACTGAATGCATCTTCTCTGCTAGTGTGTTGTATATAGCCAAGGATTTGCATTAAATACTTTTAACAAAATGTAGAGCAAGGGATTAAAATTGCCCTATCTCAATGTGGAGATTAACAATGGAAAAACTTTTATGTCAAAGACACTGAAAAAAGCCTCCTTATTTGATCCACATTCAAATTCCTGACACTGAAACGGAAGCAAATATATTAACAAAACTATTCGAGTAACACCTAGGATGAACCAGATCTCTCCCATCCCACTTATTTATTTTTTTGCCTTTCTTGGCTGACTAAACTTCTAATAGTGTGATGGTTATCTTGAGGCTTAGCACCAGAACTCTCTAGATTTACAGCCTTAAGTAATAGGTTGACTTAATGTGAGTGTTAAATTTCTGCTGCATAAGATGGGAAAATATTCTCCTTCATAAATGTGGTGTCTAATCTTACACAAATTTTACCACAATGCAAAGTTCTTTAATCAATTGCATTCAAATTATGTTACTTCTCTAGAACTTACCTACCAGTCCTGGCCCTGGCTTCTTCATGATCTCCCCAGCCTGTGGGAACCTTGTGATGTTAAAGTAGATGTAGTCATCACTGGAGTCCACGTCTGAAGCTCTCAGCATGGACCCTTGGATCAAGACGGTCTGCCCCTCTTCTAGTTCAATAACAACATTGGTTATGAGGAATGGGGGACTGTCATCTTTAGGCAAGATGTTGATAGGAAACTTGTGATGGCTGCTGTGTTGGCCATCAAATATCCTGAAAGCCACGAAGTCTTTGGTAGAGTCACTGTCATCATGATGATAGCGAACGACTCCAGCCTGAAGGTCGGCCACAGTGAAGAGAAATCCTTTCCCCTCTGAGGAAGAGAGCAGATGTGGTACTGAGTGATCAAGGGATGGAGCAGAGGCAATGGCTGAGGGAGGATGATGACAGGACAGTAGGCTGCGGGAAGCGGTGGCAAGACAGGTGCCCCAAACCGTCGTAAACTAGAAATGTCCTAAGTCAAACACATGCAGAGTAGTCTCTATGCCATCGTCAAAATGTAAAAACAAAACCAAAAACATAGCCAAAAAAAGTCCAGGACAGTCTGTAATGTTGTAAAAGGGGAGCAGGCTGCTTTTCATTCTGCCCAGCTCCTGGCCGCGGGCTGGCTTTACCCAAAATAATTACACGGAAACTGTATTCATTTAAACACTGCCTGGCCCATTATATCTAGCCTCTTCTTGGCTAACTCTCACATATTAATTAACCCATTTCTAATAATCTGTATATCACCATGTGACTGTGGCTTACCGGGATGAGTCTAACCTACATCCGTCTCAGAGAGGAAAGCCATGGCATCTGCCTGACTCTGCTTCTTCCTCCCAGCATTCTGTTCAGTCTACTCCACCTATCTAAGCTGCTGTCCTATCAAAAGGCCAAGGCAGTCTCTTTATTTAGCCAATGAAAGAAACACATAGAAAGAAGACCCTCCTATGTCACTGTAGACTGTGCATGTTAGTGAGCAGAAGTCAAGGACAGTCTGTTGACCCTGCAGCTTAGTGAGAGAAAGTCAAGGACAGTCTGTAGACTGTGCAGCTTAGTGAGCAATAGGATGCTGCATCTGGTGTTGAGCATTGCTTCTCCTGTGTGGACTTGGGACAAGTATTTGAGACTCTGTGTAACTGTAAAAATAATATTAGAGTTAATTTTAGGAGTCAACTAAAAGATAGACAGTTATGGACCTAAGATAAAAATGCAGTGGAAGGATGAGCACTCTGTCCATCTGTCCATCCATCCATCCATCCATCCATCCATCCATCCATCCATATGTCTATCATCTACCTATCTACCCCCACCCCTGTCATCTCCCTACCCTCAGATTTTGGGCCTTTGGACCTTACATGCACATCTCTCTGAGAGTCACCCACCTTGTTTCTTCTAAGGGTTTTAACCTTGGACTGGACCAAGAATTATTTCAACACTACCCTAGTTCTCAAGCCTTGGCCTAGAACTGAATTACTCTATTGACTTCTCTGGACATAAAGGATAGTTCTCTCCATCATGAAGTTTCTCAGTCTACACACACACACACACACACACACACACACACACACACACATCCCCATAATATCTCCCCTTATATAATTGTGTGCATCCTATTGGTTTCATTCCTCTGGCAAATCCTGCCAGATATAAGTAGATACAAATAAATATGCATGCAGATGTGCCATGCAAGTGGAGAGGACTGAAACAGCAGTAGGCCTCTGGCAAATATCGGTTAGCTCTCGGGTCATTGTCACGACATGGCAGCAGCACCCAGGGGAGCAATCTTTCCAGCCAGCGTCATATTATTAGAAATGTAACTTCTTGACCTCTGCCCTGAGCCTACTTAAGAAATTCTGGGGATGGGAATCAATAGCCTATGTTTTTCTAAAGTCCCTATCCCGAGGGTGGGTGCAGGCAAAAGTTTGAGAACCAGAGCTATAGCCTGATTCAAGGCTGTAGTTACTCACTTCCTAGTTTTCAAAATCGCAGATTGTTTGTTTCTAAAATGGGAACAATAACAGCATCTTATTTTCTAGAGGTGAGGAGAGGAAAATGAACGAAAGTATATCGAATGGTTGGCCCAGTATCTGACAGAGAGGGAAGGGTTAATCAACGTTAGTAGAACTTTCTCCCCTCTATGATTCCAGAACCCACTGCATCATGGGTTACCATCTCAATTTCCACTTATGCAGTATTAATAAACAGAGTTTCATTTCCTGCACAGACTACTACAAAAGACACGCAAGTCATTGCCCTGGGCTTCTGGAAAACGTGTATAGGATTGCAAACTTAGATGACTGACTTCTTCTTTGTCCCTTCTATCTTTTCCTGGCTCAAAGCCATGAAGAAAATAACACTGGTTATGAAGATGCCGCAATGGCATGGTTTCTGACTGACCCCTGGTCCTGACTGCCACTCAGCTGGAATTAGGCAGAACTAACTGTAATCTGTTTCTTTTCAATTCTGAGTTTCCCAATTACAAACAATGATAAATGAAAATTCTCTCTTTTCGTTATCATTAAGCAAAGTAAGAGGATAATTGGATTAAATCCTCTTAGCGAATTATAAGAACCAGACTTAAACTGTGGTATGAGCACCGCTTTTAAAAGGGCTATTACCATCTTATCTACCATCCTCATCATTACAGACTCATGCCTTTGACACTGTGGGAACTAATAACAACATAATAGCATCGTTATTATTGAAGCATTTTTAAAAGCTTCTTTTCCTGTTTGACAATATATTTCTCTGTATCAGAGAAATGAGAGAGAAATAGTTTGCTCTCCAACTGGGGACACCTATTGAGCAATTGAGCAAACCTGAAGCTTGAGTAATGACCAAGCAGAAGGCATAGTTCATAATGGATGTGAGCATCCCCCAGAGTTGAGATTCAATATCTCCACATCATCTGACTGTAATGATTTCTGTTTGGAAGACATCCAAGAAGTGATACACATCTGTTAAATATGATGTGCATGCATACATGCATGCATGTGTGTGTGCGTGCGTGTGTGTGTGTGTGTGTGTGTGTTCACAGGGATAAGCATCCACATATATATGTGACTGTGAGAGGAAGTTCACATGCCAGAGGTCATCCTCAACTCTCCTTCCTCAGGGGCCCTATGCTTTTTTTTATTTTTAAGATTTTTTAAATGCTATGCATACATGTATTTTGCTTGCATATATGTTTATCGACCACATCCATGTCTGGTGCCTATGGAAGCCCAAAGAGGGAGTCTAGAAGCCCCTGGAGCTGAACAATGGCTGTGAGCTGCCAGGTGCATGTTTATAATTATACTCAGGCCTTCTGGAAGAACAGTCAGCGCTAGTAACAAACTGAGCCACCTGTCTAACCGCTTTCATCTTGTTTTGTAGCTATTGTTTTTAAATGTTTATATCTTTACTTATTTTTATTATATGAATGTTTTTGCCTGCATAGATGTCTGTTCACCACATGTGTGCCTTGTCACTGTGAAGGTCAAAACAAAGCATCTGATCCCCTGGAAACAGGAGCTACCGGCAGCTGTGAGCTACCATGTAAATACTGGGAATCAAACCTGGGTTCCCAAGAGTAGTTAGTGCTCTTACCCACTGAGTCATCTTTCTAGCTCCTTCTATTGATTGATTGATTGATTTGTTGGTTGATTGACTGAGGAGGATCTGCCACTGAGATCTGGAGTGCCTGGATTTGGCTAGGCTGGTTGACTAGGAAGCCCCAGGGCTGGGATTAAAAGCCTGCGTCACCTCACAGGCTTTTATCAGCTCTGAGGACTGAGCCCAGTTGTTCACACTTGTGCAGGAAGCACATCACCAACGGAGTTATCTCCCTAGCCCCGTGATGTGATTTGCTTTGGAAGAAAACAGTGCCTGGATTCAACAGTGGGTTGAACAGGTAAATCATTGACCTCTTACTGTAAGCCGTCCATGCTGCAGGCCACCAATGGTGACCAACTGCACAGCACCAATGTCATCGTTGTCAACAATCTGAAACTGCTCCCAAGTGATGGCCCGAGACTGCCCCTCGAGGAGATTCAGACCTACAAGAAAAGACAGAAACATGTCCTCCAACATATCTGCTTAAGGTTAAGAAGATTTCATTCATAAATCTATCTCAAAGTTGTATCTTCAAACGCTCTTCACAAAACTTGAATACAGCTTGTGAGCTCTACTTTCAGTCTGACAGTTGATTCCTTAAGAACCACGACGATTCCAGAAACTAACAGCTGAAGGAAGAAGGCAGAAGATAAGCTCACAGAGGTCCCTGATTTAAATGACTCCACAGGGAACTTATTAGAGATTACACCAATGTGATTTAAAAAGACAAGAGTTAGAAGGGGTTTTACATATGACTTATGAGAACATATATACCCTGTGGGGTGGGGAATCCACAGTACTTCAATATCCTTATATAGAGCTACTGTATCTGGCAACGTTTAAGAATGTTAGCTGTAGAGCACTTGGTGTTATGCGAAATAGGACATACATTAGTATAAACTCTAATTAGACATGGATTTATGCAACTAAAGGGACGAAATAAAATCTCCACTCAGACTCGGTACACCAGAGGAAGTCGGTAGAGTCTCAATTACTGTTAATAGGGAAAACACGGACTCTGGATGAAGGCCTGCGTCACCATCAGACATTCTTATCTCTCGGTAGAATTGGGAATTGACAGATAGCTCACTTTTTGCTCATCCACCTCAAACTCTTCTCGGATGCACTGCTGCGTCTTCATGGAGACACCAGAACAATAGAGTGATCTATATATCACTGAAAAATTGTGACCAGCTCAGCCATATTGCCTGCTGTAGCTTGGACTGTGAAATGTACCCAAAAGGCCCACATCTTACTGGCATGGTCTGGTCTCCGGGGTGGCGGTAATGAGTCAGGTGACAGTGCCCTTAGGAGACCTGGGGGCAGATCTTAAGTCACTGCGAGCTCGCCCTTGAAGGTCACTGGGGAATTCAGCCCCTTCCCCACCCTGTCTTTTTGCTTCCTGGCAATGAGGTGAGCAGCTTCGCTTCCCCACAAGCTCCTGTCAAGATGTGCCAGCTCATCCCAGCCCCAAAGCAATGGGGACAACTAATCGTGGACTGGATTTCTAGATCTGTGCTCACCTGTCCTCTTTATAAGCTATTGTCTTAATATTTGTCACAGAGAGAGAAGACTAACGCCCTCCCTTTCTTTTCAGGATAAGATGTACCTCAAAGTCTGTTTCCTGGGGAAATTGGACTAAAGTAGCTATGACTGTAAGAAAAGAAAAAGTATAAAAGAATGGAAGAAGTGTGAAGAGGAAGGAAAGGGAGGAAGAGAGAAAGGGGGCCTAAAAAGGGGGGGGGAGCTAGGGAGAGAGGGAGGATGGCGAAAAGAGAAAGACAGGCATATACAAATGAGCTCCCTGGTTCGGACGTAGGGTTTTGAAGTTTCATGTGCACACACAGCACAGCACATGCATGGCATCATGGGATACATCAGAGGAGCATCCAAGAAAGCCAAAAGCCAACTGACACATCAAAATGCTAACAGTAATAATGTCCATATTATATATAGTGGGGAAATGCAGCTATCTTTCTACTTAATAATATATCTTCTAACTTTTCAATAATAGCAGATATCACGTTTATAATAAGTAAAAATTCATTTTCAAAAGGATTGTAATATCTCCAGCAACCAGACCCAGACCTGGGCTCCCTTGATGCATGTGAGCATCATCTCCTCGCTAAAACACAGTAACCTACACAAAAGCAACATTGCTACTCAACTTTGGTTGACCAATGCCTTCGTTCTCTTATTACCCCTGAACAGCCACAATTATACGCCTAAGCTGAGAACTGAAATCAGACACGGATATATCCCTCTTAACATGACCTACTGCACCGCGTGCAAGTATGCTGTGAACGTCATTGATGGTGTTAGCGAGAAAGGAAAAGCCGTCTGCATTCCGCATTTGCATCTGATCTAAATATATAAATTGCATTCAGTCTACTTGGACTTGAGTGGCAGCGTAAAGGCCTTTTTTTTTAAAGCTGCTTAAGCTCTTATTTACTTATTTTGGTTTCCATGCAACCCAACAAAAAACAGGACCAGGGAATGGGTTCCTGGCTGCTCCTGGCTCCCACTCCCCTGCAAACTCTGAGCCAGAGGCCTCTTCTCTCTCGGCTCTGCTCTCAGTCAATATCACAAGCAGCCGCTCTCTTACTGACTTCTGTTGGAATGGGGACACTTTTATGGTGTCTCTCGCAAAGAAGGAAGGTAGCCGGAGGACTCAGGGATGCTGGATTTCAATTTCTCACCAGCTACTGGGAAAAAGCAGAACAGGGATAACTGCCTGCTCTTCTTGGTCTGTCTGGGTTTCCACTGCCTCGTGGATGAAGTGGAATAAAAGCATTTTTCTTGACCCGTGCACTTCCTTGTGCTTCCCTCAGGACCACACCCGCACCTGTATTCCAGGACACCCGGGGTGCATTCGTGTCCGCTGTTCTGATGGAGATGTGGACCGTGATGGGGGCGCTCCTCTCAAAGAAGAAGTCGTACACCTCCACCTCCAGCTGGAAACAAACAGGTGCACATGAGCTGCGCACAGACAATTCGGGCTTAAAGCCCCATCAGTTCTGGGCTAAACACACGCACACACACACACACACACACACACACACACACACACACACACACGAGGCAAAAATGGATCCAGATTTGGTGTTGTTGTTCTCTAGTGTTTTAAATTTAACCTTATTTTTAAAATTAATTTTATAACCAATTGAAAAAATCATATCATATAAATACCCTTTTAAATAAACATAATTTGACCAAGTTGCACAACTACCTCTGAGAGAACTGCTTCTCCATTGCACCAAAGGTCCTCATGCCTGTTACTGTTCCCCTCCTTACCACTCAGCCTGCCCAAGCACCAATATCTCTTTTATGTCCCTATAAAATGGCTCTTTCTAGAAATGTCACTTAAATACAATCCATTGTGGGGCTGTTATGAACCACTTCACTATTATATTATATTATATTATATTATATTATATTATATTATAGAAAGTAACTTATTTTTGTTATTGTCTTTAATTTTTGTTTTTAATTATTTAGTTGATCCCAATTGTGATGTGCACAGAGCCCAGAGGAGGGTGTTTTGTGTCATACTCATATTCCCTTGGGACAGGGTGTCTTACTGAACCTGGAGCTAGGCAAACAGCCAGCAATCTCCTGTCTCCACCATTTCCATGGCCCTCAGGACTATAACTCCATTACACACTTCTGATTTCTCTGGACAACTGAGAGCTATGGCCACATGAAGACCACCTGGATTTCAACATGGCAGCCATGGGCTGGGACCAAGCCTGCTGCTCACCAAGATAAAATACCTTTCTTCAATCTGTCAGGCCGGTGTCTCTTCAGCCAGCCCTGTGACTTGCAAAATCAAGTCTCCTCTGTGACACTGAGTGTAACAGCAGGCGCAGGAGTTAATGGAAGCAGGCTTTCAAATACATATTTGAAATCCACCAGGTTGGATGCCTCCCCTCCCTTCCGTCTTACCTTGTAATGTCTCCTCTCAGGGTAACTGCTGTTTGGTGGCTGATAGGCAACCTGCATGTCACTTAGATCCTTCCAGGTGAACGAAGAGATGGCTCTGGTATGGTCCAGCAGGTGGGTTACATAGCCCTGGGGTGGGGCCTTAGTGATGTTGAACACCAGCAAGGGTTTGGGGGTCTCATCTTCCTCACAGTCCAGAACTGAGGTCGTCAGGGGGGTCAGAATGAATTGGTCCACCTCCAGAACAAACATGGCCATGAAAGCAGCCCTGGGGGCCTGGTTAGGAATGCCCACTCTAATGTTGACAGGCAGCCACGCACTCTCTGACTTTTGAAGGAGAGAAAAACAAAAAGGAGGGAATGCCATGAGTGAAGCTGCAATGTACACAGTTAAGGTCACGTGACACAATGAAGCTGCAGCCCAGAGGATGGCCCAGCTGTGACCCCCAGCTACATGTAGAATCACCTGATGCCCACCGGAATGTTTACTTAATTCTTCCAAGGAGGAAACTAGAAAACTAGCAATGAGAGCCTCCTGGTAACTCCAGTGTGAGCAAAAGATTTGGGATGGAGCGCCTGTTTTAGTATCAGAAAAATCTCTGTGTGTGATTGATTGTGTTTGTGTGTGTGCGCATGCACATTTGTGTGCGCGTGTGCATGCGTGTATGTGTGTGTATGTGCATGTGTGCATGTGTGTGTGCGCATGTGTGCCTGAGCACATGTATCACATTCATTCAGGAGCCCATGGAGGACAGTGAGGGTACCTGGCACTGGAGATACAGTTGTTGTGAGCCACAATGAGGGCACAAGAACATAGGGTGTTCTTCACTGCCGAGTTCTCTGCCTAGACCTGTGCTTGCACCTTCAGTACTTGTTATTTGTATGTTAGAGCAGTTCCACAATTCCTACATCCCATGTTCCTCTCTCCTATTAATGGAAACTCGAGACTCCTACGCATGAAATGAAACCATAGAAGTAAAGCAGCAGGCAGTGTCTGGCACAGACACCAGTAACTGAAACCATGGAAGTAAAGCAGCAGGCAGTGTCTGGCACAGACACCAGTAACCTCCTCAGGCCGTGTGGTTTCAAAGAAGGCAGAGAGAGGCGAGGGGAGAAGGGTCTCTGTCTTCATCCCTGGGTACCTGTGCAATTGGAGGGGATTGTCCAGTTGCCTAACAGGACAAGGGAACTGCGAGTGACCACCAAAGCCAGAAAGGCGTCCTTCCCAAATGAGAGACCCATGTGAGAGATCTTCTACCCTCAGAAAAGGGCACCATGACACTGAGGTCTCAGTGAGGGGTATGGGAAGGACGCGCCTGAGCTTTGCTGTCATGGGACTGATGTGACCAACTGCTGAGAGAAGCAGGCTCGGTGATCGACACCAAAAGCATTTTACACACCAGAACTCTGGATACTGGGCCTGCCGTAAGGAGAGAATGTTCAGACAAGTTTTCCTTCAGTCTGAAAACTGAAAGACTGACAGATGACATCCTGCATCAGTCTCAAATGGAGCTCATAATAAATAAATAAACAAACAAATAAATAAGAGACATCAGATTTCAAAAGTAAGAAAGGCACTATATTCAAAATGTATGTGAGTCTGTTGAACACTCTCTGGAACACTCTCGCTCACTATAGAAAACAAAAGCATCAAGAAAGATAGGGAAGACTTATCTGGGGGAAAGGATGCTGAGCTGATTCCCCAGCCAAGTCCCCCAAACCCATGAAGGCTGAGGCAGGGATAATACCACACCCCTTGCCTCGGGCATCAGGAGAGAATGTTCCTCGTAGAGCCTTACACTGTACAGGCAAGGCAAGCAGAGAGCTGTGTCAAGGCCCACCCCTTAGGAAGTTAGATTTCCAGAAGCAGAATAATGGTGGATAAGTCTCATTTAATGCTTGGGAGTCCAGAATCATTTCCATTTATAAGTGGGAAGATAGAGAGACTTAAGAGTTAGAGATCTTGTTTAGATTCAACCTGTCCTTGTGTATGTCAGCAAGTGACACGTGAGTGTTCCCATGCCACGTGGGACAGAGGACTGGCTCTGGAGTCATCCTAGATCCTGATCTATGGGGACCATCCTTCAGAAGTCAGAAATCTAGTGCCATTAACCTAGAGAAATAAATCATATTCTACTGACTGCAGAAAGCATTGCCAGGGGTAGCTCAAGCTACGGAGGAATGAACCCTCCCTTCTGGGACAGAGGGAGAGGCTCTGTGATGGAGTTTTCCAGAGAAATTGGGAAATTTCCCCGAGATAACAAAGCAACTTGAAATATCTGGCAAGCTCAAAGAGCATGAAATCATTTTCTATTAGTTCCTGAGCAGGTTAAGATCTGCCTCTGTGGTACCCTCTCTCAATCCCCCAGTCCAACCACCAGCCAAAGGTCCAGAAACCGGCCAGCAACATTGGGAAGAGGAGGTTCTCAAAAGAGAAGCAGAGGAGTCAGCTCCCTTTTCCTACGGCTGAATGATGAGAAGCAACATTCTGGAATGCCACAGGGACTTTAGCTGCCCATGGCACGGTGGTGGAAAATAACCGGAAAGATAAATCCTGGTTTTAAAGGGCTAGGACTCAACACTGAGGCCAATTAAATTTAGAGCTAAAATCTAAATAAATGCATTCTTCCTCCATTTTTCTCCCACCTGGAACCAGTTGTAGACCAAAATGGCCTCAGATTTGCAGAGATCTGCCTGTCTCTGCCTAGTACTAGGATTAAAGACGTGCACCACCACAGTTGGGCAATAAATACATTCTTTAAAATGTCAAAAAAAAAAAAAACACAAAAAAGGATACATATGTCCATAGTACTTGCTTACTTAAAAGACAGATTGTATAAGAAATAAGAAAACCTGATAGCCTTACATTAAAAATGAAATTGCCAATGGCGCTAATAGAGCCCAGGAACTGCCAAAAGAAAAGAACAATTTTCACCACACATAAGAAGCAGTCAAAAGAGCCCTCTGCAAGTCTGGATTTAAAATAAGATCAATATAAGTTAAAGAATATTTGTTTGCTTTCTTGTGCTGGGGTTCAAACCACACCTGTGCTTGCTAGAAAAGCACCCTAACACTAAGTGAATAGCTCCAACCTTTAGAATACTTTTAAATTTAAACAAAGTATGAAGTAAAAGGAAAGAAAGGACTTTCAAATATGCAAATTTAGGTGAAATGAAATATACTAAATTCTGTAAGACGTGTGTGAGGATGTGTGTGTGTATGTGTGTGTGTTAGTGTGACAATCAAATCCAAGACTTTGCACATGCTAGAAGACATTTCCTTTTTACTGGCAAAAATATATAAAAAACATGACAAAAAAATTCACATGTATCTATTATTACTATAATATATTTTATATTTTTTAATTACAAAAAAACTATCATGGCAAGAAAATGCCCAGTCATGTAGACCTCACATAAAAGACACTAGGGTTCATAGAAAGATTGGAAGTAGGGGCTGGAGAGATGGCTCAGAGGTTAAGAGCACTGACTGCTCTTCCGGAGGTCTTGAGTTCAATTCCCAGCAACCACATGGTGGCTCACAACCATCTGTAATGAGATCTGGTGCCCTCTTCTGACCTGCAGGTATACATGGAGGCTGACCACTGTGTACATAATAAATAAATAAAAAAAAAAAAAAAAAAGAAAGATTGGAAGTAAAAGTGTAACCCAAATTTATGATGTGCAAAGGGACCAGAGTAGCCACATTCATTTCAAATAGATGAAATCAAGGCAAGAAGCATTTAAAAGGACAATGTGTACAGCTGAAATAGACAGACCACTCGAGACAAAAAAAAATGCCTATAAGCAGCATTATATTTAGTATTGTTCTGGTCAAACTCGTGGGGAAGAGAGCAGAAGTAAAAGGAATAATTACAGGAAAAGAAAGGCCCAAATTATCATCATTAGTAAAGATATAATTATGGTCTTTTGAATCCCAGAGAATCGAAAATTTCTTAAAATAATTGAATTTAGGAAAGAAGCCAGATAAAAGAAAATTATACCAAAAAGTTGTATTCCTATTTACCACCAATCGCCAATGAAAAGACACCATGAAAGGAAAAGATTCTGTTCCTGGTAGTTTCACAAGAACTTCTCGGACTGGATTTAATAAATGTGCTTGACTCACACAGAGGGAAGTCTCTTTCCCATCGACATGTAGAATGATGTTTGTCCAGCGGAAAGAGAGATGTTCTGTATGAGAAGACTCAGCACGGCAAGGTTCTCACATATCAATTCCTCCTCACAGAATTCAGTTTTAATCTAATGTTGATTTAAACAAACAACTTAAAGGCTTTAAATGTAACCTACTTAATTATTGATCTGGAATCAAAAATGAGGCAAGAATGACCAAGGGAAGTCTAAAGGCGAGCGGTGTCAAGGCTTTCAGTTAGAGCGGCATAGAACCAGCAAAGAGCGGGGAAACGGACAAAAAGTTAGCCTGTGCGTCATTTACACCACAGAAGGATTTTCTAACATCCATGGGAGCTAGTGCACACTTCTAACAAACAGCTCTGCAGATTTGGCTGCAGAAAAGCTGTGTGATAAAACTTACCTTAGGTGTTAAAGAGAAATGTAGAGAGAACAACCTTTTAAAACATAGAAGAAACTGGGCTGTGGGCGTCTCTCGGGGTAGAGCACTTGCCTAGCACTCGTGAGCGCCTCCGTGCAATCCCCAGTACTGATAAGTAATTCATTAAGGTAGAGGAAAAAATTATGAGCGAGTGGGCATTTAGTCCATCGGCAAGAATGATCTGCACAGCCACAAAGGCAGCCAAAGGACAAGCTTCACGGCTTCGCAGAGAAGGCGATGCCGCAAAACAACATGAGCTCTGGGGCCTGTGGTTCTCACTGTGTGTCTGCATGTAAGAGAATGGCTATCAATTAAATCATGTTGATTTTCTTCTTATTTTCCCATGTTTTTAATGCTTTTTTCCAAGTGTCCACACTGCCTTCATATTTATTTACAAATAAACATGTTTTGAGATTTGTCAAAATAAAAAAAAATCCTAAGAAGTTTGTTTAGAAGGACATGACCTTCTAAAGATGAAACTGACCTAAAAACACAAATAAAGCCTTTGACACAGTGAGGAACTAGCTTTGAAAAATCAATCAGAAAGAAAAGAAAAATAGCTAATATTTTTAATGAAGGTAAAATGTCACTGGTAATGAAAGAGTCTTTTAACAAAGCAAACAGACAATATGTGTTGGCACAGTGGAGTCCAGTTTTGATCTGTCCGCCATAAGACAACCATACATAAATAGCAAGGCCACCGCTATGAACAGGAGGCTGGGCTCCACTATTATTCCCAACCTGGCTGACCACAAGTTCTTTTTGTTGGTGGCTGTTTAGCAATGATATGCATATGGTTACCATGTGCCAAGCTCTGTGGCAAACACTTCATAAGGATTGTCTCATTTAACCCCCTCACCTACTAAGAGTTAGGTTCCAACACCCTCATTTAAGATGAAGAAAATGAGACCTATATTCCAAGTCAGGAGGCCATTAACTATATGTCTGAACCCAAGCAATCTGGGCACCACCATTCATAACTGCTAGCAACAGACAGGGAAACCTGTCCTTTGCAAAGCTCCCTGACTGATTTGGCTGATCAATTAGGCAACACTCCATCTAAGTCTCAACAATAAGATTTTGTAGTCCTGTTTCATCATTTTCTGATCATTTATGGAATCACCGATTTCTTGGGTAGTGATGCTCACCACTAGACTGGGCTTATTCAGAGAAACGCTAGTGGGAAGGCACAGAGTAATGCTGGAGGTCTCACCCAAAGTCGCCCTGGATCGCCTCATATCGGCATAAACCTGGGCTGCATCTGCAGGACACTATTTCCCCAGTTTTCCTAACAAACTGCAGACTACATGAACATTAGAGTAGCATACTAAATATTTCATAAGAAGGCATCCTCTTTGGGTCATCATTTCAGCGTGAAGCTGAAAGGAGGAGGGCAAGGAAAATGAAGACAGGGAGCTGGAGTGTTGAAATAGGAGGGGCGGCGGGGCTGCGTCCCCAACACCCCAGCCGCTTGGCTAGCTCACGCCCGAAATAACAACACACAAACTGTATTCATTTAAAGAACTGCTTGGCCCATGAACTCTAACCCTTACAGGCTAATTCTCGCCCCTGGACTAGCCCATTTCTAATAATGTTTGTAAGCACGCCAAGGTGCGCTTACCGGGAAGATTCTAGCCTCACTTCCTCTTCCGCCCAGAATTCTATTCTGTTTACTCCTCCCATCTATGTTCCAAGCTGAGGCCAAGCAGTTGGTTTATTATAACTTAACCAATGAAATCAACAGATTGATATATGACACTCCCACATCACTGGAGGAGCTTTGGGAACCCCTCCCCTCGGGGACCCACACCTCTGTCCCAAGGTCTCAAAAGCACAGGTGATACACTCCACTGCGGATACGAAATGGGACTAGGCTGTCTTGCCTCTCAGTAAGACTTGGGGGCTTACAGAGCAGATGCCTTGATGTCAAGGAGGAATAAAGGAACACTGGAGAAAGGCAATTTATAAAGGGTCAACCCATAAACAATGCTGAAGAGGGGATGGGGCGTAGGGTGTGGACTCGGCCACACCCTACACAAGGCTTCAGGTTCAATCCTCAATGCATATGTGTGCTTGCACTCAGACATACACATTCCCTGTATATACTTATATACATATATACACATTGACTGTAGGTGGAAGACAGTTAGCATGTAAACAGCCCCAGTCCCTTCCTCATGCTGTAGAGCTACAGAAGAAACAAAGACGGAAACTACATGCTAATTTTCCATGCCTAAGCTGCTGGTTGAAGCACTCCCAGGCACACCCCACAAGCCTGAGGTTGAACCCTCAATAGTGCAGTAACTCCTCTGAATAGACACCAGCATGGGTACTCCCTGGAACTGCTTTCCAACAAACCAGCTGAGGATGCTAATGCGTAACTCCAAACTCTACCTTGTACGTGGTTTTACTCCTTCTGTCAGTGAGATCCAGCTGGATGGCAATATAGTCGATGTTGGGCGAAGGGGGGCGTGTGTGTTGGTAGCGAAGCCCCATCATCAGGAACTCCTCACAACTCGCTCTCAGACTCCCCACCTCCTGCAGGCCCAGGGCACAGCTTCCACCGGGACACTTCAGCTCTGGAACGCACAGCACCGCATTGAGACAATCACCCGAACACAGTGACCATACAAACCCAAAGCCATCCTCCTGCCTTGGATGTAGCTTCCCTCTCTGCCCCAGGACTCTTAAACACACATGTTTCTTCATGACTAGACTGTCATTGTTCTGAGAGGCCATAAATTCCTTTACAAGAAAAAAAGGAAGTTGACCAGTTGCCTCATCTGACTTTGCCCACCAAAGGATAGGCTGAGGAAAAAATAATTAAAGAGTTGTTTTGTGGTATTTGAATATCTCTGGCAAATATGCCCGTGGCTCACCTTGAACTTCACAGTCCAGTCAGTATTTCCTTCTGCATTATACAACCTCATGTGGACTGTCTGTCTGCCCACAGAAATCCCTCCTCCCCAGCCCTGGTTGGTCTTAGCAAACCCTCCTTTAGCCCTTCTCTGGCTCCTTGAACCAGCCCATTTTTGAACCCATAACTGTCTTTCTTAATGTCTGTCTCTCCCTGTTGTATTTCACTCTTGCTGAGGGACTGATGCTCAAGGACTCTTCTTTCCTTAATACAGGAAACAGATACTCTACTTCTTACCCAGCGCTTGTGGTAACACAATGACATGACTGGCGCTCAACTTTAGCTGTGAGCTTCTGTTTAAAATCCCAGGCAATAATATGCCTGCCTCTAGGTCTTCCCACAGTTGCTAGAATACTCTACGCAGACAGAAAGCGTTCAAAATGTTCAAAGTGTACTGACTAACACATGGAACACTGAAAAATACAGTAACTAAATGAATTCCACAAGGGGAATTCAGTTCAATCATCATCCTGGATTTCAATCCTGGCTGCTGCCTACAGTCTTCACTAGAACACAACCCAGCAATACTCAGTAAAAAACAATCCACTCTCAACACTGCTGCTATTCCTATAACCATAGCTGGAAAGTCATGGGCACTATAATGTACCAGACCTATGCTAAGTAAACTATGTCCTTACTCCATCTCTATACAGCTCTACAGAAAGCTGTGTTTTTTCCCATCTAACAGAGGCTAAAACCCATTGATAACTAAATTAATAAAGGAAAATACAGACAGCAGGCCCAGGTATTTCTGATTCTGTCTCCAAATTCACAGCCTTAACTAACCTACATTTTTCTTTTGTAGTTTGAATGTGTTTTAAGTTATATTTTAATTTTATTTTTATTTGGGGGAAATCAGTTTTCTCCCTCCACCATGTAGGCCTGATTGGTGTGGGAGAATTGTCTGTATTCTGTCAATCGTGTTTTAAATAAACGCTGATTGGCCAGGCAGGAAGTATAGGCGGGAAAACCAGACAGGAAGTAGAGTGATGCAAGGAGAACAGGAGAATAATGGAAAGGAGGAAGTTGATTCCTCCCACTCCTGCCTGGATCACCGAAGCAGCAGGATGTGATCTGCCCCACTGAAAAAAGGTACTGAGCCACATGGCTAACATAGATCAGAAAAATGGGTTTATCAAGATGTGAGAGTTAGCCAGTGAGAGGCTAGAGCTAATGGGACAATCAGCTTATAATTTACAGAGACCTATGTGTGATTTTCTTTGGGGCTAAACAGTTGTGGGGTACCAGGCAGGACAGAAATCACAAATAAACAGGCTCCCCTCATGTTACACCTGATGATCAAATTCAGGGCAGCAGGCTTAGAGGCCAGGGTTCCCATCTACAAAACCATCCCACTGGTGTGTGTGTGTGTGTGTGTGTGTGTGTGTGTGTGTGTGTGTGTGTTCCCAAAAGAATTGGTGCCATAGTTTGTGTTTGGAGATCAGAGGATGATTTGGAAGTGTAGGCTCTCTCCTAATCTCTCCTAACACCTCGTGGGTTACAGGCATTGAACAGATCAAGGTGGTGACAAGGACCTTTACCTACTGAGCCATCTCACTAGCCCTAACTTACATTTTCAACAAGCTAAAATCCTATATTTGTTAAGCACCACTCTTCACCATAGTGCAGGATGAGCATTTACAGCCATTTTAGTCAGTTTAGTAACCTTAACTATGAAGAGGTACATACGGGTCTCCGAAAAAAAGCTGTGTGGCTGATCTCCACGAGGTCCCTCCGGCTTACGATTCAGTGTAACCAGCTTGCCATGGGCTGGCAGATGAGTCCTCACTGGGTCCAGTCTGATGGTGCAGTCCAAGTTGGCTGTCCTATCATAGTCAAACTGGAGCAAGTTCTTATCAATGGCTTGGGACAATCCGTAGAATTCAGTCACCTCCAGCATATTGCTGCTCAGGCGGATGATGTTACAGTCTGGTTCCACAAGATAGACTCGCAAGAGAAAGGTTTCCATGAAGGTGTCTGTTTCAGTAAATCTAGAGAGAGAACAGAGTAAAGGGCTTATTCGTCACTGCTCAGATTCTTCTGAGACTTATACACTCATCTTAAAGATGGCTCTCCACGATCAGGGTCTGGTGATGTATGTCCCCAATCCCAGCTAAGGCAATTATGCCCTGAGTATCTACTCACAGTCTAGAAAGTATACGTATCTTACCATACCCCTTCCACTCAGACTCAGACAAGGAGGCCTTTCAGGCAATCTGGGCTTTTTAATAAAACTCACTGGTCAGTTTTACTAGCAGTTGGAGGACAGCCTGGGATGAAGATTGCATTTGAGGCTAGCCCACACAATTTAGGGAGAACCTATTTCAAATACAATCAAGGCCAAACCAAAGTAAGAACAAAAATTGTCCATCACAAAATATGAACTTTGGGTGGGGTTTGGTTCCATTTCTTCCTCGACTTTTGGCCTCTGCTTCCAAGGCTCCATCTCTACCTTTGAGTCCATGTTTTTCCTTGCCGCTTTCCTCCTTAACTGTCTGATTTCCAAATCCTGTTCTCAAGATCACCATCCATCCTAGCATCTATGACCACTGAGACCTGAGTCCCTCTTCTAGCACATGCATAACAGAAGAGCTTAAGGGCTATATAGTTTATGAATGGAGCTTCAGTTTAGGAGTGAAGAAGTGTTGCATGTCAAGAACTTCTGTTCTCCAGAAATGCCACTGAACAGACTGGTCTTTAAGTCTAATTTGGATGTTCAGCCCATCACCTGCCGTGTAAACTAAATGAGTAATTGTTTTGGTCCCAGCAATTCTGTTCTGGGATATTTGCAGACTGGAGATGGACTGTCAGGCTGCAGAAGAGAGAGAGAGAGGGGTCAGGAATGATGTGTGCCCTGACAGGTGCAGCTCTGAACTGACACATCTGTAATTTGGCCCAGGTGTTTTAATAAGGCCTCTGCCCCAACTGCATAGGAACCTGCAGTGGGTATTATCCATCCCCTTTCACCAATGAGGAAACAAAGGCAGAGAGAAGTCAAAAAGCTTGACAAAGAGGCTGAAGAGGAGATTCCGGCAGAATCAACTGCTCCGAAGGAGAGAGGGCACGAGCAAGGAACTCAGGACCACAAGGGGTGCACCCACACACTGAGACAATGGGGATGTTCTATCGGGAACTCACCAAGGCCAGCTGGACTGGGTCTGAAAAAGCATGGGATAAAACCGGTCTCACTGAACATAGCGGACATTGAGGACTGCTGAGAAGTCAAGAACAATGGCACTGGGTTTTGATCCTACTGCACGTACTGGCTTTGTGGGAGCCTAGGCTGTTTGGATGCTCACCTTACTAGACCTGGAAGGAGGTGGGAGGTCCTTGGACTCCCCACAGGGCAGGGAACCTGGTCTGCTCTTTGGGCTGATGAGAGAGGGGGACTTGATTGGGGGAGGGGGAGGGATGTGGGAGGCGGTGGCGGGGAAGAGACAGAAATCTTTAATAAATAAATTAATTAATTAAAAAAAGCAAAAAAAAAAAAAAAAAAAAAAAAAAATAACCAACTGCTCCCTGGTCCCTTGCCTCCAGCCCTTCTGAGAGAGCTCTATTTCAAAGATCCTCAAGACCAAGGCATGGCAGCTCCTCTAACCCTCCAAATCTTTCCTGGCAAGCTGTTTGAAGTTGGTTTGGTTTGACTCTGAAGTTTGGAAAGATCAAACACCCCTTTGAATTGCTAACGTAGCTTCCTCAGGAAGCCTTAGTGCCATTCACATCTTGGGCACAGCATTTTGTTGGTGACTTTTCTTTGGTGATTGCAACTCTAGTGGCTCCCTGATTGCGCCTCCTCCAGCTTTTGGCAGCCACTAATCTACTTTCTGGTTCTATAGACCACCCATTAAAATATTTCATATTAAATGGAACCATTCTTTTGTGGATGGCTGCTTTCACTTGGATAATGTTTTTAGGGTTAATTCACACAAATCAGGACTTAACAAGTTTTGTGGTTAACATTCTATTGTGCAGTTATACCATTTATCAGTTCAATTCCTTCAACCTTTTAGCTATTATGAATAAGGCTTTACTATTAACATTTCATATAAGCTTTTGTAAGCATAGGTTTTCTCTTGTGTACACAGGTTGGAGGTGTTTTACAGGATTATATAGCCATGCCATCATTAGTCAAATGGCTCCAAAATAAACTACCTCTCACTCCCTTTAAGGAATGTTTAATTTCATCATTGATTGTAAACACACTTGTGTTATTTAATGTTTAGAAGTGGAAGATACTGCATTTCCTATAACTAAGCAACTGGCAATCAAACAGAAGGGCTTCATTCAATTTTATAATAAATGTCTATCCGATTCAACAAAGGGTTGAACTATCAAAGTTAAGCAATGGGCTGGAGTAATAGAAAGTTCTGCTTAAGACTGGAGGGAAACAAGCAATCTGTAGAAAGCCGCAAGGAAGAAGAGACAAATGCATTGAAGACTGGCTACAACTGTTCCCCACTCACTCGGCTCGCCAGTTTCCGTCGATAGCTTTCTTACTGGAGTATAACGATTCCCTTGTGATAGACAGAGTTGTAGAAAATGCCCAGGAAGTACAGGACATGACTTACAGGCAAAAATAAAATAAGATAAATAATAAGATGGCTTTCTGTGCCACTTACCTGTAGAGTCTAAGCTTCACAGAATCTTCATCAAGAATTGGGCATCCATTGTGAGCATACTGCACTTCGTTTGGAAGGAAATGGCAATCAAAGACCTAGTTCGCATGAAGAAAAAAAATGTCTGAGAAAACCAATGTGGAGCTTTATTTCTCTAGCCCTGCAGTACGGCCTGAAGAACTGTGTTCTGGCTGGTTGTGTGGACACACACTTGCAATCAGCTTGGGAAGCTGAAAAGGGGCATCATGAACTCAAACTCAGCTTGGGCTCCACAGTGAGTCCAAGACCAGTATCAATGAGAAACCAACAAACAAACAAAACAGAGCTCCTTAAAGAGAATAGGAGGTAATTTATTCTGGAGACATTCTGAGTAGCCATGGCCTGAGAATGCAGATCTGGGTTATCCTAAATCCCATGTTCTAATGGAGAAGCATTTTCCTAGTTTTACAGAGTGAAAAGATCATGAAACAGAGAGGTGGTTACAGAAAGATGGGGGAAGATTTTCTTTTGTTCTGTTTGCCTCGGATGTTATTTGGTCTTATCTGATGAAAGTTTAACGTTGGGGTTGGTAGAAGCCAGTGGTCTGCTCAGTTAACAGATTTTGAAAGGTTTTTATCTGTTAGTCTCAGGATGAAGCTGGGCAAGGAATCGCTATTTAGTCTCTGGCCCAGCAACATCCCAACCTCTCAACATCACTGAAGTTTTAATCAGCCAACCAACCAGTCTTACCAACCAGTCTTTGCAGACACAGCTTCTTTCCAAAAGTCCTGTTCACACCAGTCTGGGATACTAGGCTAGTAAGACTCTGTCTCAAGGAAAAAAAAAAAAAAAAAAAAAAAGAGGAGGAGGAGGAATGAGGAGGAAGTGAGAGGGAAAGGAAAAGGGAGAGGGTAGAGAGTGCCTATGTTCTATTGATGGTGTGGGTACAGGCATCTTTTTACCAGCAACCCCTTCTTCCCTATCCCTATAGCCATGCACCATTGTTTTGTTGATGTCTAAATTGTGATAATCCAAACAGGTGAAACAAACTAATGGAAGTCACTTCTCTAAATCACTCTGTGTCTATAAACTATACTGTTTTGTAAATATCTGCTATTCATCAAAAAGAATATTTATCCCCTTCAGGAACTTAGGGCAATTGAATTCGAGAGGTCTTTCTGTGTGTCTAGATAACCCATTTGCCCACCCACAGACACGCTGCTCTGTGTGGCTTTTCTTCTTTCTTTTTCAGCTAAAGTTTTTGTGTTCAAAGATGGACTCACTGGCTGTGTTCACCCCTGTGTTGATGAGAGCCAAACAGGACCTACAGTTGCTTCTCACACTCCTGCAAATGACAGCTTTGATAGTTATGGCAGGAAAAAAAAAACCAAATGGCTGATGAGAGCCAAAAATAATCTACTCTCCTTCAATAAAGTTGTAATTAGACCACATCACCTCATTCATAATCATTAAGAAATGACTCTTTTATATTAGGACCTGGCTTTTTTGCTTTATTTTAAGACTTCTGCCCAAGTCACAGTCTTGCCCTGCCGTGCCCAAGGTGGCAAAGTCCTGTGCACATCCACACATCACTGTACGACATTTATAGCACCTTTCACAGCCTCAAACATTTCCAGACAACAGAACCCACCCTGGGAAGACATCCTCACTGGTCGGAATGAGTTCCTAGTCCTCTTTTGAATTGACAACCAGGAAGAAGATAAAGAGAAGCCCTTCCCATATCACTGACGAATAGGCACGGTAATAAAGAGACAATCTGCTTTGTTAAAAGAAACATCTGTTCCGTGTTTCCTAATATGTTCTCCTTTTATAAAAGGCGACAACCATGATTGACCATAAATTTACCAACTAAAACAAAGGAGAGCTAAATCCTTTTCTAATTACTGTCTAGCTTTGTTTTTTTCCACTCCAACTGCTTTTCAATTACAATTTATAATTAAATTGTCACACATTCCTGACTCATTACTCACTTTAATGACAGTGAAGTGGTTCAAACTAGAGATGTTTTCTTAATGCTGTATTTCAGATTCAAAACCAGCAAGCTCAGCACTAAACCAAGGTGATTTTTTTTTTCCCACCCAGAAAACGTTTTCCTCTGGTCTAGGTGTGGAGTGCTGGGGGCCCCAGCACTTGCCCTGGAATCTGAGAGCCATTGATCTGTCTAAGTGGCTATCCAGGAGGTAATGGAAACAGAAGGCACTAGCAAGAACCCACGCAAGTGGCTCTCCAAACACGCAACGGGAATGAACCTGTTGGTTCGAAGACAAACTTCAGTAATGAGATGAAAACACTGATTGAACAGATGTTGAACAAAACATTTCTGTGCAAATCCCACAAAACTCTTCATTGCGCAGCAGGGTGTTGTTAATACAACGGTCTTGCTAGGAATGCGTTCACATAAGCCTAGCTCGCAGCTTCCTCGTAAGCTCTATTAAGGAGTAATGTTTGTTTAGCTCTGTGTGTGTGTTTGTGTGTGTATGTGTGTGTACATATGCACTTATGCACTCAGCCACGCTTGATTCAAAAACTCATACTAAGTAAATCCCCGGGCAGGGTTGAACCATTCTGGATTTAAAACAAGCATAAATTTTCCTCAAATGAGATTTGACCTGGGAATCTTATCTTTCCTAAAATTATCAGAATTTAAAATTAGATTTTTAAAAAAGTGGAGAGAAACAGTGTTTCTAAGACATGTCTATGACACAAGGGAAAGGGGTGACGAAAAAGGTTGGCGCTCTAATAGGCTACTGTGGAATAAAGTTTAGAAGATAGAGGTCACATCGCATGTCCACTTGAGAGGCTGCAAATTCATTTGCTGTGTCGTATTTACTCCTAGCGAAACACGCATGCACATCCAGCACCAGATGGGGCCTTTTTTCAAAGAATCAGCAGACACTGGACGACAAGGGCACTTGGAGCTATTCCTGAACAGTCAAGGATCTCCTAATCTAGTTGAGCATTTTGTTGTCTCTGATGCACCTATCTTCGTGATAACTAGATTTTTGTCTTAAAATCAGAGAAAGTTTGACACATAGGTGACCTGAAGGTCTTACTCTGTGAGACTCATATTCACATGATGAAAAGGTCATCACGATTTCCCTTTGTTATTGTGGGGTCTGAGTATGACCTTAAAAATGTCTCAGAATTAACAGGATCCAACTAAGAAATCTGTCTAGAAATCTCGCTATCTTCTCTAAAGACGCTTCACTTGCAATGAGTAAGAGAATTGGGCCCAGAATAACCGTGGAAGGGTGGTCACAGCACACCCTCCAAGCGACCGCTCACTACAGTCTGACTCTCAATGTCTCTCTTTCTCTTTTAATCTCTCTTTTCAATCTCATGCTCAATCTTTCTCCTTCCCCCTTCTTTCTCTCCTCTCCCCTAAAATAAGAGACCAAGAAGCCTATAATTTCCTTACGCTCTCTTTTTCCCCTGCTGAATTACTAGCTACTCTCTAGGGCCGAGCACCTGGTAAGACCTGGAAATTCTCTGTGATGAGAGGGGACACTGGGAAGGTCTACTTGTAACTGTGCATTGTTAAGAAAAGGTGTGCACACATCTGTATGAGTTGAACCCTTACTTCCTGCAATATGCTAGTATAATTCAGACTAGAACACACCAGTGACAGGCTCATTATATGAATCCAGTCGAGAATATTCAAAACCAGGGCTGGCGCGATAACTCAGAGGGTAAAGGCATTGGCCACCAAGCCCGATGGCCTGCTCATTCTCCATTTCAAGGAGAGAACTGACTCCTGAAAGTTGTTCTTTAACCCGCACAAGTGCGTTGTCTACACATACAAATAAATATAATCTTCAAAGCAGTCAAAAATACGTCCCACCTCTTTGAGAAAAGAGAAGAGATCCCATGCCTGTGTCTTTTAATTCCTTGGTTTCAAAGATGATACAATACTCATAATGATGGCTTAAGAGATCCTTAAGAGATGCCTCCGACTTCCCACACTTTGTTCACACACACACACACACACACACACACACACATTCTGAACAGAAATGGAAAGTGACCTACCTGTGGCGTGAGTTTCCCAACCCTCTGGGTTATCGGTTCATTCACCACCACCTCCACTCTACAGGCATCCTTCTCTTTGGGGACAGCAAACTTCAGATGATCTCCAGACAGGAAGGCAGAGCTGCCCTTCATCACCCGCAGGCCCCGGTTGATGCTGATGAAGGTGGAGTTGGCCAGGTCTAGGTGCAGCAGAAGCAGCCGGAGCAGTAAGAACAGCAGGACCCTGGGTCCAGTACAAGCTGAAGAGTTCATGATGCCAGGGCCAGTTCTGTCCGCAGGTACAATCTGCTCAGCAGAGCAGGACTCCTGTACTTCCTTTCAGAGTGTCAGCTAGCAGTCCAAGGGGCGAGACCAGAGGTCCCGATAGCATGCCCCAAGATCTTACCATGCCTCTTCCATTCAGACTCAGACAAGGAGGCCTTTCAGGCAATCTGGGCTTTTTAATAAAACTCGCTGATCACTCCTGACAACGCTGGCAAGATTAATGTGCCTCCCAAGGGCTTCTCTAATCCTGCAAACAGGAGAAGAGGTTGGAGGAAAAGGAGAGACCGAAGGTTTGTGCAGCTAGTTAAGGAGCTGTTCCCAACAAAGGGATCTTTCAGCTGGCCTATAATTTCGGCTAAATTAAAAGCAAATAAACTAACTTGACCTTCAGGCCCACCCGAAAGACAAGGCAGCCATTTCATTACTCTGCTCCTGGCTGTTGCTTCCGGATGCAGTGGACCTCGTGGGATGTCAATTGTGTGGTCTAGCAGGATTCTTCGGCCTCATTGCTAGAGCACAGCAGCACCAGCGGTGCGTTCTTGGCTTTCATTTCCCTATTTGTTAGACGAGGACCACTCCACTTTGTGCAGGAAAGCTGAGAGTACTCTTTGTACATTGTTTGAGAACATGGGTAATTCAAAATCAATAGAACCCAGCTAAGAAGTATGCCTAACAATCGGTCCAATGAACTTAGGTGGGCAATGAGGCCACCTAAGAGACTCTTCAGGAGAAACCGGTGGAAATGATTATTTTCTAAGCAAGCATTCAAGCTATTGCTTACACACCAATGGGACCTTGGAGAAACAGTGGCATAGCTCAAAGTACACAGCTAATGGCACTGTACGGACATGCATTCACGTCATCATCTCTAAGGCTAATTCTGTCCCCACAAACTCCATCTGCCCAGATGGAGCTGTTTTCCTTTCCACAACCTTGTGATTATTTTCTTCTGTTCTTTAAGAACTGAAAAGACTTGAAAATAAATGTATTCCCACATATCCTGAAGTCCAGAGCCCATTTAGACGACCAGTGGCAGGTGGCTGTCCTATGGAGAAGTCTCACACCAAGCAGGTACACAGCTTGTGGTAGAGCTCTTGCCTTAGAAACTTACATCTTGCCGGGCAGTGGTGGCACACGTCTTTAATCCCAGCACTCGGGAGGCAGAGGCAGGCGGATCTCTGGGAGTTTGAGGCCAGCCTGGTCTACAAGAGCTAGTTCCAGGACAGGCACCAAAGCTACAGAGAAACCCTGTCTCGAAAGAAAAAAAAAAAAAAAGAAACTTACATCTTCATAATTGCAATCTTTTCCTGCAGAGGAACTGTAGAATAAATAAGTGAAATACGTATCAGCGGGTGGTACCCTAAAATCCGGGGGTGCTCCTTTTCCACACATCGCTCCCTGCCTCGCCTACTCTGCACACCCCCTCATGTCCTGCAAGGCCTCTACCCAGTAGCTCATGAATCGCACAGCTAGCGGCAAGAAGGCCTTGATGAGCACCTCAAGGAAGCAAAAAGTAAAAATGACCAAGAAGTTTAGGTCTCTTCTCTTGACAGCAAAAACCTCACCATAAAAATTGAGAACACTGAAAAGTTGTTTTCTTCTACTCTGTAAGAGAAGTCTGTTGAAATAGGGACGGCGGCAACAGATGGCGCCCGACGTGATGGGCTAAATCCACTTAAAAACCCGAGAAGGCTTAAAAATAAGGGAGAGAGAGTTTAACACAGATTTTTGCTGTTTTGTTGGTGGCGTTCTGTAGAGAAATTTCCTGATTCACCAACAGCAGCAGAAAAAAAGCTGCGTCATTTTAAAGAGCCACTTCCCGGGGCTGTGCTACCACCGTGAACTCTGGCTTTAAAGCATTTCAAGGCTTTTATGGGACTGGATGTTTGTGTTCCCGCTTGGGATCGGAGGAGAGTGCTCTGAGACTGTGCCGATGGCTCAGCGCTTCCCGCCTGCACCTGGGCAGACGGCAGAATCAGGCTTAGGCAGGCGGAAGAGCATGGCGGATTCCTGCCGCCATACAGAGACGCATTTTCAGACTGCGCAGTGCTCTGCGTGTCAGATTTGGCTGTAACTTGGAAGAAAAGAGTTTCTGTGCTGCACACTCAGTCTCAGAGTTAAACTGCTGATTGCGGCTCCAATGTGGACTGCTGTGTGCCTGGAACTGTTGTGGCTCAGGGGCACCAAATGGCTCTGAGGCAGGAGCAGCTTGGCTCAGCTCTGCCATGCTGATCTGTGCTGGTCTCAGGCAGGAACTACCGTAATTACCTTAAAACCGTGCAGTTAAGGTTTAGACTGGGCAGGACACAGGCAGTACCGTATTACCTGTACATGGTGCAACTTAAGTTTTTAAGAACTGTTTAACATTTTAAGAAATGCTCCTGGATAGTGAAAAAATTACAGATTCACAATAAAACAGATTCAGACAGACCACTAAATGGATCACAATGTTGGATGAGTGTACGTAGGCTTGAGAGAGAAAAAAAAAATAGAGAGAGAAAGAATAAAGTTAATGCCCTTAAAAAAAAGGGGATAAAGTCTTTAAAGAGACAGAGTACAGATAGTTATAGATTAAGAGAAATAAAGTAAATATAAGCCACGTAAAAATGGAAAATTCACAGAGAGTCTGGATTATGTACATTGTGTTTTCTTTAAAATTTTTGACTGTGAAGGAGCTAAGTACAGAGAGACATTTCATTACATGGGCTGCCAAGCTAAACCAAAATGGATATAAGGGTATTATGATTTCAGAATTTGGGTCTAAGGATATGATGCTTTGGAGAGGGTCTTCTTTTGTTTTTGCAGAGGATGAGACCCTGTGGATTGCATCTATTCCGATTTGGTATGATAGACCACGCCCTCCTGAAAGGTTGCTGTGAATACCCTCAAAAAATTGCTTCGCTCAATTGCCAACTGAGATGAAACTAGCATACAGGTTATATCATGAACAACCTAATTAACGACGCCCCTATTCAGCAGGAAGCAGTTTGTAGAGAAAAAACTACGCCCATGTTCCCAAATATTGTTTATAAATGTTCTTTTACATTTAAAGGGGGATATGATATAGATATGAATAATTTGCATTGGTATGGATTTTATGGTCAATTTTGTTATATGTATATGTATTTTTGATCTTGATTAAGGTATTGTGATTGTGTAGTTCATTTAAAAATGTAATGTATAATTAGGAAATATAGGTTGTTAATGGATAATCATCGCTAATACTTAAGCTTGTAGTCATGTTAGTTAGATTTTCTAGATATATAGAGAGATATTTTAGTTAGATAGGCATTCTTCATATCTTTCAAAGGCTGCAGAATATGGCATTTAAGATATTTTAATAACTTAGGGTTTTTCATGACAATGAGACACATTTGCTCCTGGCAGCACCAATCTATTTCAAGAGGAAGATGGGCATCGAAGAGAATCCTTATGGAGTTTGATAGCCATTTGGGCAAGAAACTGCTCTTGCCTGGACTGTTGCATAAACTGGACACAGAGAACCCGCAGAGAGAGGACTGCTGAACTTGCCTAAAGGTGAGATGACCTTTTGGGGTTCCTGCTTCATGAAAGAGTCTGTGAGACATTCTGCAGGACACAGCAAAAAGTGACTGAACTGTCTTTGGAATTTCTTGCTTGATGAGAATGTCTGCTGGATACTATGGGCCTGTAGGCCGAAGATGGATGCCCCAACGGTACAGAGGAACTTTGGGTGACTGTCCAGGCAGCGAGATGTCTCTGTCATTTCTAGAGTTTTCTTATTTCTTGTTTGATAGGTAATATTATATCCTTCTGGAGTCTTTGATGGAGTTGAAGAATGGTTAGTTATAGTTTTCCTTAGTTATGATAAGAGATAAAATAGATATAAATATTGTAACTGTAATTCTTACTTGATAACTGTTTTGTTATATGTAATTTTACTATGTTAAAGTTAAAGCCTTTCTTTTTTGTTTAAACAGAAAAAGGGGAAATGATGTGGGAGTGATTTCTTATTAATAAAGAAACTGCCTTGGCCCATTTTATTGGATAGAAAATTAGGTAGGCGGAGTAGACAGAGGAGAATGCTGGGAAAAAGAAGCTGTGTGAGGAGTCGCCATGGTTCTCCCGCTCCAGACAGACGCAGGTTAAGATCCTCCCTGGTAAGCCAGCTCGTGGGCTACACAGAATATTAGAAATGGGTTAGAACAATATGTAAGAGCTAGCCATAAGGAACTGGAACTATCCGGGCCAGGCAGTGTTTGAAAGAATACAGTTTCCGTGTAATTATTTCTGGGCATAAGCTAGCCATGCGGGCGGCCGGGTGCCGGGGACGCAGCCCTGCTGCCGTCCCTATTTCAACAGAAGTCTGAATAAACCACAGCCAAGGGTAGGAAACTCGGCCTGATGACAACTTTGCAGATGGTGCCTAGTTGTGCATGAGGAATGGAAGGGATGCTTTGCTCAGCAAAGAAGGGTAGGAAAAGTACGGGGGCTGGGAAGAGGCCTGGGCAATAATGCCTCCTGTATCCAGGGTTATGGAAAACTGGAATGCAATTCCCACCATCATGGTGGGACAGGACTCACTGAGGCGGTGAGCGCCCGCTGGGCATGAACGTTTCTCCAAACCACAGCTTTTTTCTTTCCCTTTTAAAAGCATGGTGTTTCTCATTACCTTACCACAAACATTTTAAGTGAGATGGTTTTAAGGCATTGGTTTCATTAGATCATGTCTTTGATTGACAGAGAAATGTGTCTGTCCTGATTTTACAAATGCCTTGTAGGGTCCACCTTTAATATATTAGTGGGAAATTTGTCCCGTATCTTTATCTGAAACCTTTCACAGATGGCATCTGTCCTGTGTCACCTGAGGGCGTATAAATCTTTACAGATCGGCCTGTTTTGAATGATGTCAGCCCGAAAATAAAGCTGTTCGCAGACTCCCACTGACCAGGCTGTCCATACTCAAGCTATCTTGGCTTATTTGTGTAAAAATGCAAATTTGGTTGTAGAATTTTTCACAACAAAGTCAAATCATTTTACCCCTTCCACTTGTCACCCAAGACCACATAGAGAAGCAAGCCATTCGGAGAGAGGAGCGAGGGATAAAGGAGAAAAGTGCTTTCTGAGATTTGGGCTAGCGGAATCAACATGCCAGGGCTGCAAGGGCTCCCACTTTCGGCTCTCCTGCTCAGCCCCCTCCATTGCCTCTCTCCACCACTATGCATTTTTTAAACCACACTTATTTAGTTGCATATATGTGGGTATGTG